TTAGGAACGAATAAAAATGTTATTTACCGTATATCTACGTTGAATGTAATTCGAATCTTTAACGGGAACAGTGTTTAGTAATCACTGATTACTCTTTTTATTGGTTATAATACAGTAGTTGCAGATTTACATTCTATTGGACTAATATTCAAAATTTCGTTTAGTTTTCCATATTTAATATTTGCAGAAATAGTCATACTATGATTAGGTTTTCTATTTGTAATTAATCAGGCAATTTTTATGTACATATTTAATTTAACTGGTGGTTAATAGCTGAGAGTAATGATTGGTAAGACGAAAAATTTCAAATGTGATAATTCAATAGTATTTAATGAATAAATATAACCAGTTTAGAAGGGTAATTCTTGTGCAGTATACGAAGAAATAAGCGAGGTTTCAATGATTTAAGGATAATAATTTGCAAGAGGAAACATAATTTGTATGAATATACTCAATAGATAATACCGAGACATTAAAGTATGCCTAATGTTTAGCGATGTGTCTTAATTGTTAATCAACAATTAGAAGCATTGATCAGTTAGTAAAGATCTGAACAATTAATTTATTTAAAGTCTGGCTCTTGAAAGTATTCGTTCCTTTAAATTATTTTGTTTCCAGTATATTCATTCTTTAGTTACGAAATTACTAGAAAATTAGTATAATTTTTGTAACTTGTAATATCGTTTAGTTTTTTGAATTTCTTTCCAACCATTCACGCGGTTACGTCTCCCATTGTTCCGTAATTTTTGTTGTTTTTATATACCTCTCGAGCGTTCTCTCTCCTTTCTAATCTAATATAATATTTTACAGTGTAGTCTTAAGTCATATAAACTTATACACATATAGGATGTCTATGTAAAATTAATTTTGATGTACATGCATTTAATTTTAAACTATATCAGATTTTACACATTGTTAAATTATAGAATTTTTATATGTGATAGCGAATATTCTCATTTAATGGGAAAAATCTGACCAATGTTAATTTATGTAATTTTGTGGAAGAAATTTTATACAATGCGAAGAGTAAGGGAAACAAAAATCTTGTACGAATGTTACTTTTGATAATCGGCTAATAAGAAAAGACTGATGATAACGTAAGAAAAAGAAAAAACGGAATCAGTATTAAATGAGAAAGAAACAATTGCTTTTGTGGCGTTTAGTCTATTACGATATTTTTCTACTTGTAATTTAATTAATTAATGAATATATTATTAACGTCCTTTAGGAGCTGATCACTTTAGCACATCTTGTCGTATAGCTTTTATCTATATTAATAAAATATATTAAGTAAATATTGCATTTGTTTAAATTTGGCCATGGCCGTGGTTTAAGTTAATATCAGTAAAGACCGAATTAGTGTAACGGTTTTACTTTATGTATTATTTGCTCATAACTAGATCTTTTCCAGTGTATCTGGTTTATTTATATACTTTGTTCAACTAACTTGAAAGACCTGCAGTATCAATTGCCAATTTAAAGTTGTATTGATCACTTATGTTGTTGCACTAATTCGGATCTTAAAAGTTTTACATTCATAACAAAACTCCTTCGCCTTCTTTTATTTACATTTGCATGTAAACTATTCATATTAATATTTTCAGTAGTTTTCTTGTAAATTGCAAATGTATGAAAGAAATCGAGCAAAAGATTTCATTCCCTTTTTTTTTACAGATAACATAGTGGTGGCAAAATTTTTTTCTTGTGATAAATTGTAAGGAATCAAGGTAACGATAATTTGAAATATATAAACAGCTACAGTTTGTTTTATTACACAACAGTTTATTGAGATGATTAGTGTATGGGATACAACGATTTTAAAAGTCACACACGGTCCATGATGGGAAAAAGTACTTTCAACATTTTGTATTTCAAAGAATAATTAAAGTAACTGTCACATTCTCCAAAAATTTATAGGAAGGATTTAGAAATAGTTTATGCCATTCTGTTGGTAACAATGAGTAAGAAAACATTCTTTTATGCATCTACTATTTACAAGAAGCTTCTAAGCACTGGTACATGAATTCTGTAATTTAATGTAAATATTCTGTTTTATGGATTTAAATTAGTGGTACTGTGTAAATATTATACTGTATTAATATTATGGTGTAATATTTCAAACAATCATCATTGAAGAAATAGTTTCAAGTTTTTAATCGAAAATATGTTTGATGTGAGCAAAATTGAATTGGAAGTAAAAAAGAACAGTACAAACTCTGTACAATCAGTTTTTTTTTATTTCGCTCTATATTCACTTATAGGATTAGCAGACTAACATTCATTAATCATATTAGGATGCTCTCTTGCACAGTCCTACAACTATTCGTCGATGAAAGGAATCAGAACAGAAATAAATTCGCAAAAATAAGAGGGTAGGACTTCGTTTAAACGATCTTTAGTACATCATAACGCATTATTTAAAAATACTTTTGAATAATTTTTGAACCAGTTTTTACAATTACAAAATATTTCGTTTACATTACTTTTGTTTGCCAACATTAATATTTTGTCCAAATTTGTAATATTTCTGATACTATTATAATTAGGTAATGTTTTGACTGTTAGAGCGATTCGAAGAATCGTTTAAACAATTTCCCTCACATAAATATTTCGATGAAACGCCGTCTGGTTAAAAAACTTCTTTTTTTTTTGTTTTATACGTTTAATTACAAAAGAACAGATTCTACGTGCAATTTATATACAGTTCCAGGTGTCCAAAAGATCTATAGATCGTTTCTTCGAGAACTTCACAGAATATATTTACAATAATCTTAACGATAGTAATTGAAATCAAATAAAAGTTTAATGTTTTTTGCGCGACATGAACTGTACAAGTAATTTATTAATTAAAATCGTAAATCCTTCTCGATGCTTAGGTAATCCTGGATTTTTATAACTTTTATAATTATTAATTCTGTTTGTGATACAGTATTATATTGATCGACAAACACTTTGTCCCGGTGATTTATTTTTCACCAGAAGGAACCATCATTGATGTTTCGTAATCTTCTAAAAACATCTAAATTAAGAATTAGCATAGAATTTCATTAGCTTTTTAATTTAAATAGATAATTTCTTCATGTAACGTGTTTTTAACAGAAGGGATTATTCTGTAAGAAGACTTTCAGAAGACATCGTTTCTGTTTTCTTAGTTACTTTGTCAATATTGTGGTCGATACAAATTTGATGACAATCGTGGTTTATGACTTCTTACTAATATATAGAAAGTTATGTTTATTTACAATCGCAGCAATTTATATATTATGGGCCCGATAAACACATGATACGGAAAAGGAATTCCAAGTGAATAGAATTCCAATTTTGTTTGATTAGTCAAAAGGGCTACATCTAATTAATTACAATGATCACTCGTGTATTATTTAACACTAAATTCGTAATAGATCAGTAGAAAGTAATTTATTATTATTATCATTACTATTATTATTGAATAAATGTAACTACGGTTAGCTTGTATGTATCAAACGAATTCAGGTCCACATGAACAATTTATGCGAAGAATTCAGTTTCTTTTTTATTTTGTTATTTTTTTAAGTAGAATAAATATTATTTTGTGATAAAAATTTACGATTTATATACTATGCGAAAGTAAATTTATAAAAAATTTAAAACTGATTTGGGCTCTTTAGTTAGCAGCCTAATTACTTACATTCGGATTATTCATATTGATCGTAGTATTGCCTAAACTATCAATATTATCTGGTACTGTCGAAGGACATACCCTTCAAATACTATTTCATCACGAGTTCTTAAAACAACCAGATGAACAAATCAAACAAAGGACAAAAGAAAAAACCGAGGACCCTCGCTTTTCACCCTTTTACTCTCGAGTCAGATTTTTTAGAGTAGAAAAAAACTAAAAGTTACTTAGTATCATCAACAGCATAATTGATAACACGTAAAATCAGCACTTATGATTTAAGGAAAATTTGAAAATCAAACTATTTCTGTTTTTGGAAGACGTTCTGTAATAATTTTTGCTTAAAGAGCGTCAAAGTGTTACTAGTTGATAAAGTTTTATCTTAACGTAAAAAATATTTCTTCCCAATTATACGTATCATTAACGTGAAATGAATTAACATCTATAGTAAACACAGTTAATTCCTTTAAGATACATTGTTTACCAAAATTTGTGACATATTTTTTCAATATTTTGAATTTATCGTACACAGATTTGGATCTATCGCTAAAAAAAATAAGTAAATATGAGAATCTTCCTTCTGTAGCCTTTCCAATAATTTAAAGAATGTACATTTATCATTAAACAATAAATATATGTCGCATGGAATCTATGATAACACAACCGATAAAGCGAGGAGGCAATTCAACATACGTAAAAATAAATTCTGAAAGATTTATATTCTGTCTCAAGAGTCATAGAATGAAAACCAGAGTATTGGTTGCACATACACGCACATTCATTCATCTTAGGCACATTTACATACTCGATATAAAAGCACATCACAATGATCGAATCGACGATCTTGAAGAGTCTTTCGTTTAAAGCGATCCTTCGATCGATATACATATACATACAATAAGTTTCGCGAAGGTGCGGAGAGCCAAAATTGTGACTATTCGAATGAACAATTTTACTGAATTAAGTATAGTTGCTGTGTGACGTGTGATTTAATGTTAATAAGACATTAATTGATGGTATTGTTTTAAATAACGAAACACATTATAGACATTTATACTTTTCAAGGAGGGCGTCCAATGAAACAAATATTATTGTTGATCGTACAAAAGGATGAAGCTAACAACTACTTTCCGATTTAGTTGTCTTCATTAGTAAATTCTAAAAATTAAGATTTTTTTTAATTTTCATCGTTACTAGTTTGAAATAAAAAATTTTCCTAAATGTAACATTTAAGAAGTAACGATTAATTCATCGAGAGAAAAAAAGTTGATCACACAAGTAATTTATTAGAAACAACTGATTGATTCGAATAATCAGAATTTGAATATAGTTAGATGGGCTCCCTTAAGTGGCCGTTCTTCGTTTCGAAGGAATGAAAAGGGCAGCTCTTTTTGAAAAGTCGTTCATGTTGCATAACGCTTAGTCCAAAGCCGTGCTATACGATCGTGCTCTTCTCTATTCTGAAGATACTGTGTTGCTATACTTCCCACAAGGGGATCCGCTGAAACATGCAACAACGAATTTCTTTTATACATATTTCCTTTGTGGTATACACCTATTTATTTATTTATTTGAAACATTTAGGAGCTAAGATTTCGTAGAATAAAACCTACTTCAGACTACAACGGCGACTAATCCTTATTTTCCCCTATAGTCTTCGGCTTTTAAAAATATATAATGCGAGTTTCTATGTACAGACACCTCTCGATTATCGTCCCGAATTCGGGTCCGCACCAGGACAATAATCTTATAGGGAGAAATTCTTCAGACCCTTGTGAATTCGTTTTCTGCCCGAAGCCCGAGCCTCGGCAAACAAAAGCGGGGGGGGGGGGGGGTGGCAACAAAGTGGTGGGGATAACGCCTGGACAATAATCGTGTAGAACAAGCCAGACAATAATCAAGAGAAGCCTGTACAGGGGTCTCGCGATTATTGTCCCGAACTCGGGTCCGCGCCGGGACAATAATCGTGGACTACGCGAAACGTTTCTGACCCTTGTGAATACGTTTTTTGCCCGAAGCTCGAGCCTCGGCAACTCGCCTTTGTAGTATTCCGAATATAGAAAAGGACAAGCGATTGAAAAACAGAGAGAAAGCTTCTATTTCCACTCGACTCGACTGCGTGGCCCGTTTGCGACGCTCTCACCGACAAATGGTTACATTATAGCCAACCACACAGTTCGATTGTGCGTGTAACGTTTCGGCTAATAATAAAAATACGTGTGACTGGAGGTGATTCAGCTATATTTAATTCGTCGGCAGCCCTCTGGGCAGTCGCCGACGATTGAACGCTTCGACTAATCGTCGTACACTCCCCCGCTTCGACTAATCATCGTATATTCCACCGCTTCGTCCGTCGAGTCAATCGGTCGCATACATTGTTGCCCGGCGCGCGAGGCAACGCTAATGGAACGATGAAATTTTTCATTTTTAAAATGATACCAAATATGTCATAATTTCGATCATAGTTCCTCATATAGAAACTGTTAATAGTTCATATCAGTCCATTATCGATTCTGCTAAATCATAAGTAAATATGACCCAAATTGTGTCGTGTTTGGTATCATTTTAATCAGAAAAATCTCACCAATATGTTTATAAAACTTTCATTAATAAAGAACTAAAAATAAAAAAGTTTTATCGGTGCATTAGTATTGTCTCGCCGACACCCGGGAATGTAACCTTTTTGTGGGCTCCCAACGTTCAGTCGTCGGCTCGTGAACGGGAAGCCGCCTCCGTGCGTCGGGGCAACAAAGTATGCGCTTGACAGGTTTCACCCCCCCCCCCCCAGTGGTGGGGTTGACGCCTGGACAATAATCGCAAGGTCCCTGTACTTATAAGAGCAATGGTTTATACGTTCAGGTCAGCAGTGAAGTTCAAGAAACGCTTGAAGAAAGACCAGGGATGGACACATTCATTATATAGATTCTAAATAAGGAGTCTCGAATAACGAATAAAAGATAAAAAGAAGAGTATTTCGCCATTTGTAATTGATAAAACGTGGTAATTGCAATTTTTATACTGAAATTATACTTCTTCTTCTACGAGTAGACACTTGGTAAACAATTATTTAATCTCATTATCTGTTTAAAGGTCAGGATGATACTTTTGGATACTGTTACCTTTCACTATGTATTATTCAAATAAAATTGTGCCCAACTCTGGGTATGACCGAATGGTTCGATTTTACCGGAGCGTTTATTCTCATTAATACTTATTTCACAATCTCTAAGGCCAGGATTACACGGGCGTTTTATACACCGACGAGCAAACTCAGCTTCCACTAGGGGAAAAAGTAACGTAGGGGAAGAGCCTCCTACCATTTGGTATTTGGAATTACTGATACGTATGCCAAATTAACATTCGATTTAACATTTATTTCACTACCTGGAATAAATTTACCAAGTGGTAAAAGACTTTTCTTCTACTCCGCTTTTTCTGAAATAAACGTTAAATTGAATATTAATTTGATATATTTCAATAATTTCTGAAAACCAAATAGCAGAAGGTCCTTCCCCTATGTCACTCTTTCTTCTAGTGGAAGCCGAGTTTGCTCGTGGGTGTAGATAGCTTTAGATGCGACGGCTCGAAGCCACCTTTTTAGCGTTAAAAGTACTTATAATGCTGTTTAGTATTATTCAGAGATTAGCAGCATTCCAATTATATATTTTACTTTACCTGGATTGCAGTCTGTCAAAAGTGAACAAATAGACAGTAAGACCTTGGAAATAGTGAGTGCAGGCGACCAATTGTCCTTTAGTATGTCCAAGCAAATGACTCCTTGACTGTTTATATTACAATGATAGATGCGAGTTCGGAATATGACCTAAAAACGTCACGTTAACAATTAATTATGTATTAGTAATGAAACGTTCGTTATTTTTGTAGTACAACATGGATCATAGAAAACCCACAATAAATTTTTCGTTTGCACCACATAATGGGATAATTCCTGAAAAAAATGCTGCAAGCAACTAAAAAATCACTACTACGGTTTTCAAGTAAACTATATTATTATTAGGGGCATGATACTGGAAAAGTAGAAAAAAGTTGAAACTATATTTTTACACTGCTTCTCTAAATTAGATTTCCAATTGTTTTAAAAAAAGATACGAACACAGTCGGTTCCTTTTGGTATTTAAGGATTTAGTTCTTTGTTAGTCCCAATAAAATATGACTAAACTTAAATAAACAATATTTTTACCAAAAACATTTTATTTAACCCAATAATTCGGAAGAGATAATTATTTATATAAAGCGAAATGTAAATTTATTAAATGTTAATGAAAAAAGGAAATGTTTAACCTTTTCGATACTATGGGCGACTGTAATTAGTGAGGGGCAGAGATGGGCACAATTTTATTCGAATAATACATAGTGAGAAACAGCAGTAGTTAAGATCGTCATCCTGACCTTTAAACAGTTCATGAGAATAAATAATTGTTTGCAAAGTGTCTACTAATTCAGGAAGAAATATTATTTTATGATAATAATTGGAATTACCCCGTTCAATCAAGTAAAAATGACGAAATATTTTTTTCATCTTTTATTCGTTATTCGAAACTTTTTATTTAGATAATGAATTTACCCATCTCTGACGGGTGGTCAGTCGCCGACATTCGACGTTCGACGCTCGACCCCCACCAGCGCATTTATTTGAGCTGGCCTGGCTGGCCAAAGTTATTCGAAGGTTTATTGAAGCCTTCGAATAAAAGATATAGATAAAAGATGCAAATTTTATTCGAGCTTCGAATAACGAATAAAGATAAAGTATCCTTTATTCAAACAGTTATTTAAATAATTTTTTATCTAGATAATGACCATCTCTGCTGTATACACTCTATTATTTCTATTTGAACAACAATTTTTCGATTAACTGTATGAATATTGTTAACAATTTCATTGTTTCTTGTCTTACGGATCATAGTACTGGGTAAAAGGCGCTAATCGAGCTATACATTAATATTATTATAAGTTATATGCTATCAGACAGGCTATAACATAACAGTAATCATTTTCTTGTAAGTCGAGAAAAAATGAACAATTCGTGACATTTTTCAAACTTTTTATACAAAATGTGTCACGAATTATTACCTTTTTCACATAATACCTTAATACTTTATTATACAAAATGTTTAAAAGAATCGATTTGTGTAAAAAAAAAAATATTTTCATTCGTAATATTTCAGTACTATTAAAAAAAAAAAAATTAACCTTGAAATCTCAGAAGATCCTCCGCCTACGAAAAAATTGTTACTGCTAAGTAATAGCTCAATTCATACTAAACAAATTTTCTGAATAAATTTTTCTGATATCTCTAAAAATAACGGAGATAATTAAGATGACCGTAAAGTGCGTATATCCAGCCCACCCTGTATAAAACTACACCGCAAAAGTGAACAGACGATCAGTGGGGAAAGCGCGCATGTAATTAGCCTCCTGTTCACGCACAGTTCCTGGAAATTTGGCCCTTACAGCCTCGAGTCGTGCGTGAATTGAATGTCTACTTGTATTTTCCATTTCTTTCGGATCGCTGTCGCCTTTACTCCTTCCCACAGGAGTTCACTTTCCAGTTAGCATTGAAAACTCAATATTTGAAACAGCTGGAAACATTTCAAGCACCTGGACGGCAAAATCGCTCGAGCTTAGATGGATACCACAATGTAAAATGACAGAACGATAATTTAAACTTTTTTTCTTTTCAATGTACTTTCATAAAAGTGTTATAAATACATTGAGGAGTTTTTCCCGGTGGAAATAAGTTTAAACTCGAATGTAATCGAATAATTTTTACAAGTACGTAGTGTTACGATTCGAATTACAATGGTGTCAGAGTAGTAAATAGAGATAGGCAAACTAATTATCTAGATAAAAAGTTTTGAATAACGAATAAAAGATAAAAAAAAAAGTATTTTGTCATTTTTAATTGTTTAAACATGGAAATTTCAATTTTTATAATAAAATAATACTTCTTTGTGAATGAATCGACATTTGTCAAACAATTATGCAATCTTATTAATTGTTCAAAGCTCAGAACAACACCCTTAGATATTGCTGTTTTTCACTGTGTATTATTCGAATAAAATTGTGCCCATCTCTGCCTCTTGATCCTAGCAGCGAGCGATTCACCCTGTAGTACTCTAGTAGTACCACTCTCCTACAGCCCCAGCCGCGGCAATATATCAAGGGTCCACTAAATGTTATACAATCAGTTGTACGATAAATCGCATCGTCTATGGGCCGTTTAGAGGAGCATTAGCGTACAATAAGAAGAGTAAAAGCTTAAATCTGCGTTTAAATCATACGTGATTCATTCTGTATGTTCATATTGCAGGTCGAGAGTAGGTCGCCGGGCAAGGATTGGGTCGATAATCGGCGACGAACGGTTTGACCGACCGAAGGCTTGATACGTTCGAACTGTTTGAAACGTTTCAAAAGACCGGACACTGTTCGAACATCTTGTCTGTGAAAATATCCAAATACGTTTGGGCTGTTTGTTCACGGATCCATCACTAACTATAGTCGCCCGACACGAAGCGACCTCCATGTACTATGGATAACTATTTAGAAGCATTACCGGTTTTTGTATTGCTCCGAAAAAGTATAGATGCGGACCGTACAGCCGTATCCTGCGACACATTTCGCGGCAGATGTGACCGTATCGAAGGGGTTAAAATACTGGGTTATAAAGAAATTCAAGAAATAAGGTGCTTGAATACAAAAAAAAAATTATAACAAATTAGGACACTAATGATTGCATTAAAAAAGAATTATGCTAACTCTTACGAGGGGAACCCCTGCAAATGTAACCGTTGTTGTTTAATGAGGTTTTGCCAGTTTTATAGAACCTTCATAAGATGTTTGTGGTGTTTCAAAGATGGGTCAGGCTTCGTAGCAATAATTTAATAGAGGTCAGAGTATATATGCATGAATTTTGACTATATCTGCACGTAAATTACAGATAGAATAAATATCCTACCGCATATAATCCTAGAATCGTAAATTTTCAAATATATTTTAAGCAAAAATATTTTCAATACTTATTATCTATACAACAAACAAATATTGTTAATTGTAAGTAAAGTAGGAATTAAAAAATATACATAGATAATAAACATAAACAATTAAACACACCGGTATTCGAACACACGTATCACTATCCGACACTTAACCGTTGCGCCAAACATGTTGTCGAAAGCGTTGCCCGTAATTAAGTATATAACGCACACGAATTAACTTTAACTGTTAATATTTCGTAAACCATTAGCAGTCTTCGTCCAATATAGGGTATTAGCGTGTTCAACTCGACGAGTACTACAAACTGGCAAAAGCTCATTAACACACTATCGGGCGGGGACTACTATGCGTAGACTGCTATACCCGGTCTGCTACTCTCTGTGCAAACTGTTGTGTTTATGACTTTCCATTTTGGGGAAAAATGTTACACAAGTATTATATATTTATAATTGTTTATACTATTAAATACGTTTAATAATGTTCAGAAAGTTTGTCGGGTTCACGTTTAAGATAATTTTACTACAGATAGACCGTCCGTGAGTTCAAAACATCTATTTCGAGACAAGCGGTCGTATACGGCAATTATCACAACTAATTTTAAATGACCACTCGATAGTGTATTATAAAATGAGGGTTACACTTGAGAAATTCCTTTTGTTAAAAGGTATCTACATGGTGTTCACGCTATTAATTCCTTAGTTCCCTGTATTTTTCTCGTAAGTAGTAGATTTGTGAGTAAACTAGAAGAAGACACAGTTTCACTATTTTTTATACGTAATATAATACTTCTGGTTAGATATTTTTAATTTACTGTAGTTTTCACGGAATGGTAATATCGTGAATTTTTTTTAAATCGGTAGCTATCAATCTTTTATACGGGGTGATCCCTTCGCTGCGTAAATCAATGGCCGTGGCCGCTCTAAAGAACCGCTGTAGCGGAGACGACTATATTATCGCCCCTGCGACATCGATAGTGAGGGCCCGTTGACAGATTTACACGCGCCGACACTGCTTTCACAGCGCAGTTCTTTAGAGCGGCATGGCCTTTGTATTATATAAAAATAGTTGTCGAAATGAGTTCAATGACGTACAACATAATAGTGTTCATGGTCACTGAAATACAAAAATGGATGCAGTATTTTGGAAAATTTATAACGCTACTACTTATTTACTATTACCTTTATGGAGAACTGCCTGCCCATTCACTTTAAAGACCAAAGTTAATTTCATATCGGAGTACCGCCTGTGATGGTTAACACATCGCGAATATTCACGACTGGAAAGATGTCTGTAGAAAAAACAATGTGATAAGTTGTGTCAATTTAATTGTATTTTTGCTTATTTATTAAAATAATACCGTTGAACAATGTATGTATCATTATTCGATTGAAGAAAAAGTAGGCATGTTAGATATTTATTACGAATGTGATAACAGAACAAATGTATTATTGTATAAAGAAAGATATCCCGACAAAGCGCACCCAAGCGAAAAACAGTTTGTTTCGGTCAAAAAACGTTTTAAAACAAAAGGGAATTATATTGAATATACTATGTATATCAAGGTAATAACCTTGAATACTATTGTGTTGTAAGCATTGAACTCTATACCTGAAATGATAACTATGAGTATTGGAGATGTCGTCGGCTTGTTAGACAGAGAATACTGTGTCAGAGGTATCCTTATTTCACTCTTACACAGATCTTTCCTGGACGTACAGTCGCATCTATATTTGCCTATACCCAAATTTGCTACAAGATAATAAGTAGAGGAAAGGAAAGGTACTGAAAGATACTTTCGAAACAACTATCTTCCTCGGCCTCGGCTCATCCCTAGATAAAAACCCTAGCTTACCGTACTCTGTTATCGTTCCAGGTATGTAAAGTTCAATGACTGTAGGTCATTGAATTCGTCTTGACAACCGTTTTCATTTAATACAAGAAAGATAACTGTCAATTTAAGACTTTTTAGTATCGCTATTACGCAAAAATCATTACACATTTAAAGAACCTATTCAAGCCATCGTGTTGCGCATAAAAAATGGTTAAACCTTGTTCTGTTCCATTTTTCTCACAAATCTATCACTCACGAGAAAAACGCAGTGAACTAATAGCGTGAACAGTCTGTATAGAAACAACAGAAAGCTTCGATTATGACAAATTGAAAACGCACGTACGCATGCACACACACAATTTTAACCCACTAACCAGACGGGATCATCTTAAAAAATGAACTCAAAGTTCATAATTTCAGAACAATTGGTACTGCAATTATCAAAAACTTCAAGTGAGAATATTATGACGGACTTGAAGCATAGTTAAGTGGGAAAGCAATAATCTAGAAAATATAAGTGGAAACTTTTTCACTACTTTTTTCAAGGTGAGACAGGAAGATGTAAGTAGAAAATGGTGCACACTTAAGTCCAACATGCTCTCTAAGAATTAACACGGATCTTTTCTCCTTTTTTAGTTGTTGTTTTAAAATAATAATACTTAAGTATGAAGTAACATTTTAAAATCTCTTTTCTTCTTTAATAATAGCAATATATAATATTATGAAGTTTAAAAATTATATATTGCTAACTTTTATAATTTACTAGCTATAATAATTGATATCCCATGTAGTGCAAACAGAGTTATATATAAATGTACACAATGCTGTGTCTATAAAAATCAATAACATTTTTGTAAAGTTTAATTTGTATTTTCATTATAAAGTAAGACTTTATACATAATTGTAAAAATTATGCTAGTACGGTACCTTTGGCGGTTTAAAAGGATATTCCGGAGAAAAATGTATGTCTAAGAAGAATACTCCTCCTTCGTAAACTGAACCAGGAGGTCCAAGTATAGTGGATACCCATTCGTATAAATTATCTCCCTTAGGTCCTGCACTGTAAAACATAAAATAGAACTGTTTATTATATAGCAATAAGAAAAACCAAATAGTATACAATTTTTAGCAATTGAGGAATTTATAACAACCAGAACTTCAAACTTCGTATTACTTTAATTGTACTATTTTTATAAAAAAATAAAATAAAATATATAAAAAGAGAGGTAAATGAATAGTGATAATTTAGAAGCAAACAATATAACTTATTCAGAAATTTCTTTTCTCCTATGATTCTTAATATAAAGCAATTGACTACAATAATTTAAGCACTAGTCTTCTAGAACTACTAAAACTTCAACATAATATAACATGAGACATGATGTATCTTGGAAATTATGGAGCTACTTATTATGAGTGTTACTATAAACTATTAGGATGCACATCAACTAGATTCTCAAATTTTCTAAGAATTGCTCATTATTTCTAAGCATAATAAAATGAACATTAATTACAAGTTAATTAAAAACTATAAACCTGCAGTTTGGTGGAGGGTCTAATGTGATCTCTGCCAACTCTTTCTGTATCCTGCAATCAAAACAGTAATCATGCAATTACAAATCTCTATAACAGCTTTTTTAGTTTCTATTGTAATTGTGATACCTTTTGGCAGATGTTCCTAAAGCTTTTGACATCTTTGGATTTGGCTTCGGTTCCTTGTTTTCTGGTTTATTATCTGCTACTGATGAACCACGCCCTCGGCCAGTTCCACTTGAACCTGCGCCCGATGACATGGCCCTATCACAATTTACATGATATTACAAAATTAAATATGAATTTTAAAATAATAAGCTATATCTATGAAATACGATTGTAAAGCACATGTTATTAGTAAGAATTCAATGAAACGTTAATACATAAATAAAACATGAAAGATTTGAACATACCTCGTGTCCTATATTATGGACCTCGAGAACCTCTTAGGGCGCTGCACAAGAAGTGCTATTACAGGTAGTGATAGAGTATTCCCAACAGGGACTAATAAATGCACAATTCACTCCCCTAGAATCAAAATATAAAAGATGGTGGATTTGTGAAAATAATAGAACTGCGTTTCCGATATAATAATATATATTTGTTGCTTTCAACAGAAAATAATAAACTTTAACATGCTATTGACAAAAACACATAGTAGGTATATACACAGAATAATCAACACTTAATGTTTGTCTTTTATATTCAGAAAGTTGTTGATAACAAATCAATGTTACTGAAACCTCTATATTTACAAAAGTATATATACAATATGGTTATATTATTTATTACAAATATTTATTGATAGTAAAAGTTAGATTGTTGATATCAATACACAGAACAATATACACAACACCTATATAAACTTGAAGTCAACCAAATAATCATGCACACATATATAAATTAACTTCATTTCTCAAAATAAAAACTGAAATAATTAAGTAAATTAAACAAAAAGAAATCGGTCTGGAACAATTTAATTGATGTCAAACATGGACAACAGACAATTTCCAATACAAAAAATTAAGGAAGATTTATAATGACTTATTTTATTGAAATAACATGACACATTTAAAATGAAAATGTGAAAAATAATAATAATCCATACAAGTTTCTTGGAAGATGTTATCTCTAACGAAAAAAAGGATTGAGTAATTGATAATTATCAATCATTTCTGTTTTAAAAAGGCGACTATAGAACTGTACACGATCGAGAGGAAGAGGTGTGTTACCTCGATGATAGAAAGAGTAGCTTTCCAATCGTTTCAGGATCAACGTTATAATCAGAGATTGATCCTATGTAAAATATGCGCGAACTAGCCGAATCCGGTGTTGTGCGTACTGTTACACGCTAGCGTGCTTCTCAGGTGCTGCTTTGCAGGCTGGCGGGCTTCATCGTCGCTCTCATGTCCCAAAGTCACGATCGCGGCGTCCCTTTTCCCTCGGCGAGCGCCGAAACGTGCGCATCTCTGCGTCGCCGGATGTTGACTCTGTCGCCGCTGCGGCGGACGTCGGTAGCCGACATTTCCAGATGGCTGCACCATCAACTACGTTATTTAGGAATATGCAATTGCCAATTCATTATCAGAAATCCCCTAGATTGCATTTTGTATTTTTTTATTTATTATATATTCAGATAAGAGCGTAGACATAGAAATATAAACTGCGCATCAAGCTGGGCCGGCATCCCAACTTTAGAAAGAGACGGGTTACTTTAGGACACGGTCGTATATACCAGTATACACAGGTCCGAAAACTCCCGTGGTGGGGGTGATCCCTTAAGGAAACAAAGTGTACTTTCGAACTTTGTCACGAAGCGAGGGCACTGTAGTGCCGCACTACAGTCTTTCCATCCAGTCATGGCATGGACCAGCATGGATCTAGGAATGGGACCTTGCGCTCCGTTTTCTAATTCCTTTGTCCACCCGCGAGCAAACTCGGCTTCCACTAAGGGAAAAAGCGGCGTAGAAGAAAAGTCTCCTACCACTTGGTAAATTTATTCCAGGTACTGAAATTAATGTTAAATCGAATGTTAATTAGGCATAAATTTCAGTAATTCCAAATACCAACAGGTAGTAGCGCGGTAGGAGGTCCTTCTCCTACGTCAACTTTTTCCCCTAGCGGAAGCAGAGTTTGCTCGCAGGGGTTCATGGGTTCAGTTGTGGTATACATTCCTTGTGGCGCATGCGCTTATTCTTGCTTTTAAAACATGAATGACGAATAAATGACAACTAAACGCTTTGACAGTAGGACATTCTTAACTTTTAATTAAAGAAAATAATATCTGAGGGATATAAGTCAAACATTCTAATGAAAAATATTTGTATATTTTGAATGAAAGTTAAAATAATATTGCAACGAATTAAATTAAGATTAACATATTACTCGAAATAAAAAACATTATTACAGTTTACTTTGGAACACTTTTTTAATTAGTTCTCTATACATGTTATTTAAAAACAGTACTTTGCAATATATAGAATAAAATAAAATAATAGATAAATATAAAGTATTTATTTACATTTATAGATTAGTGAAATTCACACATTGGTCAATTTTGATCATTTTCTCCTAATACATGATACTTTTTGAACTTTTTTGTTTTCTTGGTACGTGAACTGCCGCATTCTTAAACGAATGTAATAGAATACGGCATACTTGTGTTCCGCATTATAGCATGTATGCCCATGGTCCGCATGCACACGGTGTATACGACTGTGTATACGACCGTGCGCTGCATCAGCATGCGTTCTTGTACGGACACATCGATTGCAGCGCTGTGTGGCTAGCGGAATATTCATAAAACTTTCGGTCTTCCTTAAGGGATCACCCACGATCACCCCCATCACGGGAGTTTTCAGACCTGTATATACGACCGTGATCGATACTCACTCCGTTCGATATTGTTCGATACGAGTACTTTTGTTTGATACCTACTTGCTATCGCAACCGCAGGTACCGACCAAAAGTACTCGGTATCGAAACAAAAGTATGGAGTAATGTACTCGTATTTCCTTGTATCGATTCATCCCTACGTGCTGATGACATTATCCCCATATGTTCGGTTTTCTTGGGTTTTATCGATCGGCATAATGGAGACGCAGCTTAATACTCATCTGCCGTCAGTTTGCTCATAAGATAATATGCTGTGTGCATTCAAAATGATTAAAAAGACAAGAATAAATGAAAAGGTCAAGGCTCTTTGGCACCGTGAACTTATATAATCAAGTTACTTGTAGTTTGTAGCATGTATAATTATTGAACAGTTTTATTTATATCTGAATTGATTTATTTCATACATTAGTATTTTGAAAGAGAAATAATATAGTTTTCTATTTTTACAAATAATTGAATCAAATTTATCCGAAGTTTAAAAAAATGTTAGGCAAAATAGTGACGATTATTTTTCTAATTTTTCGTGTTTGTAATGTAGGTATGTTTTTTACTTAACCCTTTGCACTCCGAGTTTTGCAGTTTACGGTGATGTACACAGTGTATTGTTGAGTGCACGGTGTATGTATTATATATGTTTGTTCTCGTAGTAGCGCCAGTAGGGTGCAAAGGGTTAATATAATGAAATTATATTATTGTATTATATTAATTGAAATACATTAGCATGTGTTACCTTGTAAAGTGTTATAATTTATGTGTTCTAACAAATGATAAGAATGTTCGTTCTATCATATAGAAACAGTTTATATAAATACAGTTTATATAAAAAATGTGAGAGGAAGAAATATTTTGCACTTTTAGGAGAAATGTATTGTAATAATTTATGATTTTGTAGATTTTAAAACTATTTATGTTTATATGGAGAAACTACATTTTTGTTATACATTAGCCAGTGTATGATCTCTTAATGTACAGTACCTACTTTAATATTTGAAGTAGAAACAAACTATTAAATTATGAATGAAGGAACTAACGAATCATTTTGAGATTTAATGTTAGCTTAGAAAACATTTAAAACAATATATATATATTAACAAAAACATACATTTCAGTTTAAAGAGAAAAATATAACTGATCTTAAAGCTTTTAAAAGTATTTCTATTCATTGTACTTTCTTAATAGAAGATTTTATTTTTGCTTCTACATATGTACTAATATATTATTAAAATAATCAAATATAATAAAATGCAATTTTTGCTTTTGTATTCATTAGAAATAGGAAGAATGATATTTCAATTTATAACAGATTCATTGTAATCAGTTTAATAGATTATTATGATTTGTATGTGGAAATTATAATTACTTTTATATTTTATAGATGGAGATGAAGATTGTCCCACAATCATCAAACGAAGTCAATGGGGTGGTAAAAAAGCAAGTAGTGTGAATTACTTGATTGTTCCTATTCCTTATGTTGTAATTGTACATACAGTTACTCCTGAATGTAACACTAAGGCACAGTGTAGTACCAGAGTTGAAAGTATTCGCTCTTACCATATGGATATTTTGCAATGGCATGACATAGGATATTCGTAAGTATCTTCTTTATGCAAAACTTATATAATTGTATAATTTGCAAAATAAAATCATAATTTGTGGTAATTGAAATCCATTAAAAAGTTTTACATAAATAACTGTAATGTATAAACAATAAACTTTTATTACTTCTTTGTTTCACTATAATTTATTACAGAGACCAAAAATAACAGTTATTTGAAACATTTTTTGGAAAAAAATCATTAAGCAAAAAGTAATGTTTATTTAAATGAAAACCAGATATTAATAAATATCTCGAAGAAATTTTTCAAAAAATAACGTGATTAAAAAACATGGATTTTTAACTATTCTGGTTACGAATAACTATTATAGATGATCAAAATTTTTGGTGGTTACCAATAATAATTATCGATGACGGAAATTTTTTTTAGTTGCGAATAACCATGATTGGCAACGAAAATGATATTGGTAAAAGAACCTTTATCTCCACTTAAGGTATTGGCGTGGCGTATTGTCTACACGCGCATAGTGCGGACCTCTCAATATTCAAATGCTATTATCTAAAAAGTAGTTGGAAACACAACAAAATTGTATAAGCAGAAATTATAGAAAACTGAATGCTCTTGTAATATTGTTTGAACAAAATTTTGATACGACTTAATAGTTTTGAGAAATTCTTTAAAAACTCCAAAAACATGGATAACTTAAAGTTAACAGCCTGGGCGGCACCCTTTTCTGTAGTCTGATTACAATAAACTTTTTTAGGGATTATTTTCTTATAAAATGGAAACATTCTAGGGGATGAGAGCAAAGAAATACAAAAAAAAGATTTTCGTCACGTATAAACAACGGCCACCCTATTGTACATGGTAGTAATTGGTAAAAAAATTAATTTATTAATTTATGTTCTATTAACAGCTTTTTAATTGGTGGTGATGGAACTGTATATGAGGGCTGTGGGTGGAATCGAGAAGGAGCTCATACATTCGGATATAATACAAAATCTGTTGGTATTGCCTTCATAGGAAATTTTCAAGGTAGTTAATGATGCTTTTGAAGCATCTTTTTCTTATGTTCAACTTACCTTTTTTCATCAATCTTAACTTATATATTCATCTATTCCTTATCCTACTCCTTAACCTTTTTTTTTTTTTTTAATGGTACTAAAAACTCCCCTGTGGCCGTCTCAGGTGCTCTCAGGCGTGAGGGCTGGTTACGGGAACGCCGAAGCATACTTCCGCGACCAGCCCCGCCCTTGCCCCCCCTCTCTTCTTTGGGGGAGGGGATTTTCTCTTTGGAGAGGGGGCTGCTTCCAACCTGGGACGACTGGTTTGGGTCGACCGCGATAGGGATGCTAACCCCAGTACCACCCCTCGGCCCTATCACAACAATCCCGGTCTATCCCAACGACTCCTTTTTTAAAGAAAAGCCCTTCCCTCGCTTTTCCTTATCCTCATCACACCTTCACTCGTTGCCAACGCCTCGGCGGACCGCTCGTTGCCGATAGACCAGTCGAATTAGACTTCGAAACCTCCATTTTAAAAAATAATTCTAATTAGCTATGTTTTTGCATGAAATTGTTCGGAAGGTCAGTAGAAATGAAATGAATACGTTTGTGGCTCGTAAACTATTGGCGCGCATTGTTAAACCAATTCGAATGACATAGACAACCTTTTTATTGTATTTGGCAGTCCACGTATAATGCTTCATCTGTCCTAAGGATACTAAAACGTATCATAAATTCGTAGAAGAACAAGTTTTATTATTTTCTTTAGTTCCCGAAAATATTTTAGAGCAAGCATTCTGTATATTTTATAATCATACCTTTTTTCTGTTAAATAATTTATTTTCATATTATTATTTTATTTTATAATTTCTTAAATTGTAGACAAACTTGCAAGTGACAAAATGCTTGAAGTAGCACATAAATTAATTCTTTGTGGCAAATCACAAGGAATACTTAGGGACGATGTTCGTGTAATTGGAGCGCGACAAGTTGTAAGTACTACAAGTCCAGGAAATGAACTTTTCGGACAAATTCAAAACTGGCCTGAGTTTTACAGTGATGTTTAATACTTCAGTTTAATTTGAATTTATTTTATTTTCAATTGTGCATTGTTTCTTAGTAGTACAGTTACATAAATTCTTAATATAAATTTGTAATTTGTATATGTTAAATCCACATACCAGTTATGTAAACTATTATGTTGTATTTTATTAGGTAGAGAATATCCTTAGAACAATATTAATTATTGTATATAGATTTATATCTATGCAATAAAAGTTTATCTTTTCTGTTTTACACTGTTTACCATATTTTATTTTTCCAACCACATCATTCATCTCTTAAAAGTAGGGACATATTATCTATTTAACGAATATGTTTATTTGAATCTGTTAGAATGTTAAATTAAACATATACTTAATTTACATGTTAGTTTTCTTATTCAATAACCCACTTTCATTTTTGTCTCTTCTTTACATTTCGTTGCCTTTCTCTCAATTTTTTTTCTATCATTATTACTCTCTTTGCATTATCTCAAAGTAAATACTCAATTGACTTCATTTGAGTATTCTTTTTCGAAAATTTGATCTTCATTCTAGTAAATTGAACAGTTAGAGCAACTTTATATTATATTATATGTAGGAGCGTTCGAAAAAATGATGGCCCAAGTGGGATTCGAGAAACCACGACCCCCGGCGCTGAAAGCCGAGACTCTACACCCTTCTCCACGTAGCCCTCCTACTGTTCCTTGATGTTAATGCTCTTTTTGTTGGGTATGGAGGTCCGATCCCACATACATGTATTATATTATATTATACATATTGTTCTTTACGTACACATACATGTCAACCCTTCAGGGAGTAAGTCTGCGCACCAATATAAGTAAAAAAACGTCATACGAATATATGTCCTATGTACCTTGGTTTTTGAGTTACAACGGCTTACTATGACACTTCGCACCAAAGCATGTGTATAAATTGCTAATTTCTTAGCTGTGGGTATTTTTAATAAAGGCTACTGATTGGTCTTGTTGCTTCGAATTTCGCAATGGAACGTGACACCAACCGGATTTTGGTCACCGAGATAAGGCACCATGTAGCGCTAAAGGAGGCAAGGATATCTCGCAGAAAAGAAAATTTGGCTTTTAATTCTTTTTTACGAATAAGTGGAAGGAGTACTCTATTATCTCAGAATAACTGAGTAGCTGTAAGTGTGATATTTCGCTTTTTATATAGCCTTAAACTGTAATTGAAACTTTAAGCACATTTTTCTTTTTTTAAATTCCCGAAAGAGTAAGGTTTTTGCACCCGTCACACTAAGAGGCCCTCTTAAATTTTAGGTGTGTTTAAAGCAGTGTTAAATTATTCAAATCACACCATATCACTATACACCATCTTTCAACGAGCTCGACGGTATTAATTCGCCAACGCGTAGTGCCAAGTGAGTAGTTCTTGTTAATCCTGAACTTTCATGTTACAGTTTTCTAAATTACTAGTGTTATACATTTTTATTTATTATAAAAATACTTATATTATTATAAAAAACTGTTTTAAAACTAATATTAATACCATATAAATTAAAAATAAGTTCCTGAAACACATTTCTATATTTTGGGGTATGCCCATAAATACTCCCATGAATAGTTATAGCTACCTGTATACCTTATCTTATTAATATCATGATTTTTAGAAAAATGTACAATAACTATTTTTAGATTATATGCTACTTATTTATAAATAAATACATAAAGAAGAATTTATCAATTACTTTGAAATTCTTTACAGTCTTTGTTTTATATCCATATATATTTATTTCCTAATTACTTATTAACTGCAAATTGTTTTTTCATTCATTTATAGTGACTGTAAGCTATGTAAACAATCCGCTTGTAAACATGGAATGATAAATCTTTGTGCCTATTTGTATTAAGAATTAGGATTTAAAAAATGATATTTTAAGATAAATAAATTTATTGATTTAAACGAGGGATTTTTTAATTAACAAAATGTGCAGATTTCATCATTATTTCATGTTTCTAAAACTATTTCGTTCCCAGCAAACTGCTGTTATTCAGAGCTTCTAACTTTTTCTCTTTTCCCATGTTTTCTTCGTCGTTTTTCAGTTCTTGATTTTGTCCATTTCATCGGAACAGTTTTCTCAGAAGAGGAAAGATTTTTCTGTTTTGTTTTTACGCTTCATCGAACATTTTACTTTTCCTTATTTACCTTACCTTCCTAATTTTTAATGTACCTTTTTTAGGTTGTACTTCTGTTCATATATCTCTATATAAAAATATCTACCATAATAATTTAGTAATTTTCCCTGAATTATATTTTATTTTATTTTGATCAACCTTGATAACCAATTGTGTACAGGTTTCGAGCAAATTCTCAGCAATAAATGACAAAAGTTGTCTAAGGAACCATAGGACTACAATTATAATTGTAATTATATCATTTAAAATAAATTATATTGATATAATAAAAATCAATTTGTAATAAAATTGTAAATAGAAATTATCATAGAAATTGGCAAAAAATATTTAATAAATTGGATGAAAGAATCATTTATTTGTACCTTTTTTTACAGTAAATATGTATTCGGAATTTGTATCTTTTATTCCAATTTCCAAATACACACTATACACTTTAGGATGTCTCCTTAGAGTGTTGTATTTGTTTGAAAATACCAGACTGTGTTTCGATTTCTGTATAACAGTTAAGGATTTACGAACTAGTGCGTTGTATGTACGTGCATTATATGCGTTCAGTTACTTCATAAATTAAATATTCAAAGTGTTGAAGAAAAATTGTGACAACTTCTTTATAAAATAAATAATTTAAGTGATAAAACTGAAAACTTTAGACAAAACTTTCAGTGCTTTTTATTTATCACACAAATATGTATACATGTTTCAGTTAAACTGATTGATGTCTTGCTTTAATTGATCATCAAAATTGAATCCTTTATGATAGAAAAAACTACTGAATTATAATTATAAGTTGTACATAAATAAGTTATAAGATTAATAGGTGTTAATAAGATATTCAGTATAACACTTAATTAAATGAAACATTAAGTAGTAATAAGATGTACATTTTTTAATAGGTACATTCCAATATGTTTACCGTAAACTACGTTTTAAAACGGTTAAAAATTGATGCGAATATACTTTGTAATAAATTCCAATGAGGAAAAGTGTCCAACCTTGAGGTCTTCGTTTATTTTTCCCTCGAAGCCGCTTTTGCGCACATCATGATGTACAGTATGCCCGGTTTAAGTGTATACACGCTATCATTGTCTAACTCTAACTATTAGAAATGCGAAAAAATGGTTCACATGAAAGTTGTTTGATTTCATGGAGCAAACTTAATAGAATATTTGAATTTTTTTTAATTGTTATTTACAGACATTGTAATGGCAATGTAATTTTTATAAATGGGACTACTTATTTTTATTATTGCCAGGTTATTAAGTATTTCACGACGAATTCAACGATATACCTATTTGAAAAGTCTGTTGGAATAATAATTTCTTGGATACCTGTATAAATATTCCCTGATAACCAGTTGTGTACAAGTTTTGATCAAATTGCCAGCAAATAATGACAAAAGTTGTCTAAAATCCTATAGCCATCTGTTATCCGTATTTTGCTTGGGTTTTGCAAGCAACGCCAGTTGACAAAATGGTAAAGCAAATTGGCAGCAAGTCTTGCAACATGACCTGTGTCAAATTGGGGCCAAAAGCGGAACAGAATCTGCGTGAGGCAATTTGCTGCATATGTGGGCTGCCCATTTGCTGCCTATGTTGCTGCCAATGTGCGCGAAAGTTGGTTATAGCAAATCTTGCATCAAACTTGTGGGCCATAACTTTATAATAGGCATTGGATAAAATTTGGCTATGCAGGTTTGACTGACTGGGGTGTATCACATACAATGATATTCAGAAATGATTAAACAGACGGAGAAAACTTCTTTTATAATATTTATTATATGAATAGTAATTATTTTTGCTTTCTCATTTCGAGTGTTTTGTTTATTTCTTGTCGATTTGGTAGAACGAGGCTAAGCATCCCTAGATAATCAAATCACTGGGGTTCACAATATAATGTTTAGTCGCTATTGAAAAAGAGCATATATACTATAAATATAGTTATACCTATAACCTTACACCTACCCCTTAAAAAGAAAACGTGTTGTGCTTCAAGAGAACCGGAATGTAACCAGCCTGCCTTGAAAACTCATGCGTACTCGCTTAATATATTGACCCTGCCTTTGTTTAAAATTCTTCAGTTTCAAATTATTCGAAAACTCGATACGTCTGAGTACATACCACGAGAACTTACAATTATCCAAAACGGCGAAATGTAATCACTATATCCACTGATACATTGAGGACACACTGCTCTGTCTTTTAAGACTAAACTAAACTTTCTAGCGTTTTAGTTTTCTGTAATAACTCATTTTTACCTATAATCGTGGATTTTTACGAATATTCATGTTTTTCAAAAACTGAGGGTGATGATGCAATTTTGCTTGCGGATTCGTGTTTGGGTCGAGAAACTGTACAATAATCACTTAGTGGACATTCCAGATTAGAGAAAAAATTTTAATTTGATGGATAGTGTGATTTTATAGATTCTTAGATTGGGTTACAAAAATTAGTATTACTCTACCTCTTTTCAATTATATATAACATTCAAACAATATATTATTTATCGTTACATACTTGCTATTCTGTTCAATGTATTTAGTATAAGTGATCTGCGTGTGTAAATATACTTTTTCTTTTACATCGTAAATGGCATAAAAGACATGAAGTACATATCTACGGACGCGTAAGACGTTCTTGAAATTATGTAACTTTCATTTGAACCAATTTTTTTATAAGATGAATTATTTCTGGCTGATTTGACATGATTAAGATAGGCAAAAACTTCTGGTATATAGGTACGTATATACGATACATAGACACGTATTCAATAGAACATCGAAATTTAAGAGGACTAATTGAATAAATATTACGCATCCAACTATATAACTTTTTGTGGACTAATTTAAAGAAACTGGAATTAAATAAAAATTGAAGGTTTCTGGGAGGCTTCAAGTTAAATAAATTGGACAATCTACTAATAAGTAATACTACGACAAGTAATTATGTATAAATAATAAAGAAAAAAATTACAAATAATAATAATAATAAAACAATACTAATTAATTACTAAAGATGCAGCCACTTTTTAAAATGTTAATATTATATATCAACTATCGACTGACATTAATTGGCATTTATTGATGCTGTTTTTTTAATGTATTCGTAAGTTGATGCGTGGTCCCAACCCAGCGTATCCTTGTAATTTTTTGTGCTTGAAGACATATATAAGCCCTGTTCTGACCGATCAGATCTCAGTCAGTTCTCACACTCAACATGCTGCGACCAGTGCACTTGGTGAGTTAACAATCTGCAATGATTTCTTCAAGAACAATCATTTGCGCATGTATGCGTTGGAGGTTTGAAATCCCCTTATCTTTGAGTACCAAAGGATTTCCCTATGTTTAGGCTTTGCAAAAGTGGTCTATTTTTCAAAAGATTGTATTACAAATATTTCTACTTAGTTATATATAATTACGTTTTTTAATGTTTATAATTATAAAATTGGTGTATAACGACGTTTATACAGGGTGTCTTTGGTCGGGTAGTGTACGTAACCGGGCAGGAGGTGATTTTATAAGAAAAAATACGTCAAAAAATGGAATAAAATTTTTTCGGGTGATGTCGAATTTGAAGATTTGTTGGATACGCAAGCAATAGAATAAGACAGTGGTTCTTAACCAAGGTTCCTTAGAACACTAGTGTCCCGCGAAATTATGAAACTGAATGTCTTCGCCTGGATGAAGCTTAGCATAAGGCTTAGTGATTTTGGTGTTCTCTGAATTTTTCTTATATTCAAAATTTGTCGTGATTTCGAAAAGTACCATTGGAATAAGACTTTGCGAATGCGTCTGTTCATTGCAGTACAAATATTTTCAAATCCAATTTTCTCATCAACGAAACCTCAAACAAAGGAAATTTATTCCGTTTTTCGACTTATATATTCTACTCACTTCCTGCGTGGGTTTACTACTCGACCTGAAATACTTTGTACACTTTGATGTTGAAAAACTAGCCTTCATGGAGTGTACTATCAATCCTTGAGAAATTTCATGCAACCATAAATTATAGTTAAATTTAAATCAATACCAATTGTTTGGAAAATATATTGTCCAAGTTTAAAGAAGTGCAAACATTTTTTAGATTTCGTGTCTCCTAACTTCTAAAACATGGTTCCTTGACAAAATACGATTGAAGATTTGTATTCACAAACTTTCGCGAGAAATCACATAATTTTGTCGAATTTTCATTTTTCCGGAAGAATGTTGCAATTATACGTCAATGTGTTGTATCTTTACGAAGCGTACAAATGTCAATTGAACTTTAGAGCAGAAAAATCGTACTTTTCGCATTGTTAAGTTCTAAGAAATTGTTACTACCAGTAATTATTCTATTACACGCTTAATAATGACTGAGTTAATAAAAGAATAATCCTAGTTGCTTGGAAAAAGCCATTAATAAATTAATTGCATGAAGTGGTTTTAAACAATCGATTGATATATCATTAATTTTTGTCTCTTAGTCACATGCGACTGAAAAGGTGTTTTCGGAAACTTCCTAAATTAAATACTTAGTTAACCACTATCAAATTTCTTTGGTTTAATACTACATGTAAATATTTATTGTATAATTTTATATAATACTGATGATTGACATAAAAATTTTCAGTCAAATAAAATAATGTATACTTTTTTACGCTTAGGCTATTTTTCTGTTGATGGTCGTTTTGGTGGCATCTTTGGAAGGTCCACCAGATGCTGCTCAAATGGAAATCGAACAGTCCCCAGACAATGTCAACGATTTAGAAGCTGATGCGTCTTCTTGGGGGTACGTCTTACTAAAATAATTAATAAATTACAAAAACTCGTATGGAAAGATATCATGAAAAGAAAATAAAACTTTACAAAAATCGAACTCTTCATAGGTAATTTGTAGAAAAGGAATCTAAATATTGTAAAGAAAGAAAATTTCTTTGTGTACAAGGTGAATCATATTCGTGATTTAATCGAAAAACAAATTGAATATATGGAATAATTTTTAAGAAAATGTATTCGAAAATATGGTAATTATACGTACAATTTAATAACTACTTAATGTGTCGGCTTGCTATTCATTATTTCTACTGTTAGTAAAGAACACAGAAGCTGTCTGTTCTGGAATGATTTTAATATATTTTACTTATATATTTATATTAAATTATTCTGAGAAATAAGTAATACAATATCGCTGCGAATATTCGTATGCAACGATACGAACAGGAATAATCACTGATGAACTAACAGTAGACAATTGCATTCGGTTGCAAGCGTATTCGATACATTTCATGTCCGAATTTCACAGAATTGTTTATTTCCATATGTTTTTGCACGTAAAATTACCTCTTTCTCAGTTTTATCACAAATAATGCTGCACCTTGTACAATTGTAATTGTTTTAACATATAATATAAACATTGCATTTGCCGAACATTTTTGTTGTAATGCAGAGGAGACGTACAAGAGCTAAGTTATAATATGTATAATAGTGTACGTTTTTAAATTTAAATTAAGAAATATATTACGGTTAAATCATTACTCTTTAACGATCATTAGGATTTAAGTGTCTTTGGGTATTATCAGCAAAATCCCTCAACGATAAAAAATGGCGGATTGTACTATCATGCTAGCGGGGGAAAGTAAAGTAATGACAACATAGACATATACAATAGACTACACAGTCTTATGGTAGGGCTGAAGTCGACACGAGAGAGACAGATAAATAAAAAAATTTAATTATTATAACTCCAGTTATTTGAATTCCAAAAAATGATTTTAAATTTATGATTGTTCAATATTACGAACCCAAAGAGAAAATTGTTTAACATTGCTCGTTATACTTATTTTATTACATCCTATTTCTTCGTTTTAAGGAGACTTTTGTTATAATAAAATTCAGAAATAATGACCAAACTTCTTAGTTACTTGCTACTTATTTAGTTAGCTTCAATGAATAATATTTATTATCTTTAATATTTTGTGTCAGAATTATGTTACATATTAATATGTATAATTAAGCATAGGGTAACGGCACCGAATATGAAAGCCAATTTATATTTGTTTAAATACCGAACAATAGAAAGAGACAAAATTTTAAGTATTTATGCTACTATATTCGTCATTCACTTATGCAGAGTGGGGCAATAAGTACTCCCATATCAGATATCTTCGAAACTATAAGGTTCACAGAAACATTTGTTTAACCACAATTGCACAGTACGAAGAAAGCCATCAGAGGGCGCGAATAGTTTTTTTGCAGGTGGAGGAACTTTGGATATTTCAAGGTCACCTCTATTGTTTTTAAAGTGGATCGGTATGTTTTTGTTTCCGTAGAATAATAGAGGAGCTTAAAACGAGTTCAACGACCTATTACATAAGATCATAGTAGGTGTTCGAAATGATGACCATCACTATCAATGCAACACAAGATTCTTTTTATGACTGATTGACGTGCAAGTCTTATAACGTCATAACTTATTGACATACAGGCTGCAATAATTCGCTGTTGCATGTATTGTGGTGTAGTTGGTACTTCTTTGTACACTTTATCTTTTAACACGTTCACGCCGGGGCCGATTATAATACGGGTATATACGGGCCACCGGTGGCCCGCGCCGGCGTGAACGTGTTAATGTTCCCCATAGAAAGAAATCTAGAGGTGTACAGTCTGGTGAACGAGCTGGCCGCGATATTGCACAATCAATGAATAATGTGCTGGGCATCCATCATGTTGATACCACATGGTTTGTCGTGTAAATAAAGGCAATTATTCTAACAAAGGACCCAATGTATCCTTAATAAAATTAGCGTAGATGTTGCCATTCGAATTTCTATTGATAACACGAGGATCAATAATTTTATCACCTGTGATACCGCACCATACATTCACAGACCATTGTCTCTGGTGTTCAACCTGCTTTTCTGCTGCCCATAAATGCATATTATGCAAATTAACATTACCGTGATTTGTGAATGTTGCCTCATTAGTAAATAATACGGTATTAAGAAATAAGTAATTGTTTTGGATCTGATGTTTAGCCCATCGACAAAATTCATCGCGATTCATGAAGTCGTTCCCCTGCAATTATTGGTGAAGGCTAACACAGCGTGGCTGAAACTTAATGTAGAAAATTTTTAATCTGTTCTCGTAAAGAAAGGCATTAAAGAGGTGTTGATTGATGATGAGGTGACTGGGGTGTAATAATAATCCATGCGTTTTGACAACACTCAAATTATTCATCTAGAAAAAGTTTTACAAGACCGTTCCGTTGGTTCGCGTCAGCTTGAGGAAGGGCGAAAAAGAAAAGGATAGACAGTGTAAAGAAAAAGATACACGACATAGGGGAAGATACTGAAAATGCCGGGAAACTTGGAGAAAATGCCGAGGTATACAAGGTGTAACAAAAAAGTTGCAGGTCCTTGAAATGGGACACTCGTGAGGCGATTTGGAACAAGTTTTTCCTTGACAAAACTGTTATTCGAGGCTTTGTTAACGAGATATTAACGGAAAACATCGACCAATCTGAGCGCGAGTCTGCCGGCTAAGTTCCCGCGGTAACGTTGGTTACCAATCGCAGCGCGTAGGCAACGTTACCGCGGGAACGCCGAAGCACACTTCCGCGATCTACCCCGCCCATGCCCCACCCCCCTCAAATGAGGGAGGGGCTCTTCTGTGGCGATTGCCCCCACCCCCCTGGGACGACTTTCTTGCCGTCACTCCTCCTCCTACCTACAGCGTCGAGGGGTCACCACTCGACACTGCCTCCATATGGGCCAGTACCAGTCTCCAGGTACCACCCCTCGGCCCTGGTTGCCCCACGGGCAGCGCGAGGGGGCACCTCGGCAGTGACCCCAAAAACTCGCGCGCCCGCGGGGCAAACACGTGGCTGGACCTGCCTTAACGGTTCCGTATCGGCAACATCTACACAGACACGAGTATTTATGTTATACGTTCGTCGGACGGTGACATCTGATTAGTCAATCAACAGAAAGTCACTCGACGGTAAATATGCCACAATTACAGCACCACCTAACGGAGGTTCATTATACTTCAGTTACAAAAAAAAATAGTTTCTATTATGTTATGTCGGTACATATTTGTGCCGATGCGATACGGTACCTATAAACACCTATATTCAAATGCATTGACGAATACTTGTCTGATCGGATATGTTCCGTGTTTATGCGGATAATATAAATTGTCCTTAATATGTTCGCGGTTGACATTCGTGCAACGGAGACGAACGACAAAAGCTACGACGCGACAACCGCCGATCTATCCGTATGGACGTAGATAGTTGCATTTTATGTACAGTAAATTTTCGATAAATGTTCTAAAAAATCTTATGCCAAATATTTCTACTTGAAACAATGTACATATAAAACAATATATTTCAGACAGTTTCGTGTTTTTTAAACGAATATGTTTTCTACTATTACTATTGTTGCATATGAAATGTCGTATGTCTTATATAATATTTATGATGTGACAAAAACTAGTTTAACCACGTTCAATTCTACTTTTTTACAACTTTTTGGACTAGAAAGGAGTGTCGTTTAGTAAAGAAATTTAAAATCAACGAAAAAACTCTGGAAGGTTGACTTGCGAGTTGATTCTTTTGCATAATGGTGCATCTCATGTTTTAGAAATGAAGGTGAATCAAATATTGTTGAAAAAACTTTTTGAAATTGTATTGTAAAACACATATACACATATGAATAAACCCAATAACAAATAAAAACCTGTTTAGTTAAAAAATATGATGACTCAGAATGTGGGTGTATGTTTGTTGCTTATACAGGATGAGTCATTTAAATCGATCCCCTCGAATATCTACGAAACCGTTGGTGATATCGAAAAATGTTTCGGTCAAAATGTTGAATGGTTAACGTCGTATTACTAGTACCACTTTACAATTATGAAATTAATGTATCTCCTGAACCAATGGTTTTTCAGCGTAAATAGTTTAATACTTTTTCTAGGAAATGACGAGCCCCATCGACTACTGCATTAAAAAATATAACATTCCATATAGATATCATCCACGCGCCCACCTACAAAAAACAAACTCACATCAAATTACTTTCCCCCCCAAAACCATTCAACTTTTATTTTAGATATCTTTTATTTTAAACAATTTTGAAAATATTCGAGGTGATCGATTTAAATGACTCATCCTCTGTAGAACAATTTTGTCGAATGTAGTACGAAAATTGCATATTTTAATTTATTAATTAATTACACTTTCTTGATGCTGTTTTAAGATATTCCAGACCGTGGCGCTATGGCTGGAAAAGCGGCGGCTGGGGTGGATGGGGCGGTTGGCGAGGAGGTGGTTGGGGAGGAAGAGGATGGTATGGAAGAGGTGGTTGGTGGTGAACACGCAACTAGTTTCCAAATTCACTTATGGAAATTCCAAAATCAGTAAACTACTGCTACTTTTGTAATATCGTGTCTCTCCACAATTATTAAATAACTTTTAAACAAAAGTAATTTGTCTGCAATATCGCAGACCGTTTTTTCCATTTTTCCACTTTATTCGTTTATCCGAGTATAATATGTTCTATCTACGTATGGAGCGTTATTTAGAATAGTTAAAAATGTTTGCTACATGAAAAGGTTCAAATATTTTTTTATAAAGAAAGGGAAAGAAGAATAACGTGGTTCTAATTTTTCTCGAATTTATTAATCTTGCGGTTATAAAAGTGCTATTATTGGTAGACATAATATAAAACAAATTCTATAGGAGGCAATAAATGAAACAATTGGCACATTTAGGGATTTAAAAAAATCTCGTGTTACGATAATATACTCAACGTCCCCTGCTGAATTATTAATGATACCAGACATATCATGTTAACTAAAATTAAAAAAAAAATTGTACATATACTATTAATACTTTCAAGGGCTCAATTGTTGTTTATCCCATCAACAGGAATTTTAAAATACCAGTTTAAAAAGCTTAATTTTAATTGAAAAGCAGACTTAATGTTGGCGGATTATATTGAATGAACTAAAAACACTGATAACCAGTTGTGTACAAATTCCGAGCAAATTGCCAGGAATAAAGTACAAAAGTTGTCTAAAAAACCATAGCCATCTATTTCCGCATTTGACTTGGGTTTTGTAAGCAACGCTAGCTAACAACATAGCAAAGCAAAATGGCGAAAAGTCTTGCAACATGATCTATATCAAATTGAGGGCAAAACCGAAACAAGGTTTGCGGAAACCAATTTGCTGCATATGTTGTTGCCTATGTTGCTGCCAATGTGCGCGCAAGGTGTTTATAGCAAATCTTGCATAAAACCTGTAGCCATAACTTTATAACAGGCATTGGGCAAAATTTGACTGTGCAGGTTTGGCTGACTGGGAACTTGCTAATAATAAATTATAACGGTATCGACAGTTCTATCACATCCAAACATTATCTCTCTTTGTCAGTCTGCAGAATAAACAAGATGCCAACGAATGAAACGGTCAGAAAATTGTATCCAAGTTAAGCCGCGTATTTATCTGAGCACTCGGTCCCGAATAAGCACCGAACGAGCGCCGGACACGCGTCGAAGAAATGAACATGCCGCTGATATGGACAGCGAACCGAGCACCGAGTTGTTGGACTAAGGTAAATGTCCCAGTGGTTGGACACGTCCTGGCGATTGGACACTATCATGAATTTTTGTTAATAACGACTTGTCTGGAAGAAGAAGTTCTGCTCTATCGATTGAATGTACTTTTTTGCCAATCTATATTATTTTAATATGTAAAAGTCATAACCACAATCTTCGCCTTAAACATCCAACCACTGGGACATTTACTTTAGGCACCAATTTTGGGCGTCGAACCCATGGACCTGAAGGACGGTGCATAGTTCTGTGGGGGCAGGCCGAAAGACGAAAGGAGGATCGGCTTTCGGCCACTATGAGAGGGACTACTGATGGTGTCCTCTACAGCAGAGTATAATTATTCAGAGTGGCGTCCTTTGTAATGATCCTGGTGACGCTATTGTGTGAAACCATTGGACAGAAACTCACGTGTATAGTTATGTATATTATTGTAGTTCCAAGTAAAGTAATGAAAATATTATATTTGAAGGCGAAAAATTGTTATAAAAATGTAAGCACGAATGATCAAATTTAAACTATGTTCCGCAAGAAATTGGTACGGCATAGATGGCACTACTAGTCGTCCCTCTCATGGCGGCTGAACAGCTTCCTGCGGCTCCCCTTAGTTCTTCCCGCCACCCGTCCATAAGTGTATATATTATATCAAAACAAAAGGAATTTTCTAGTAACTGATCAATCTGATTCCGTCCAAAATAAAGCAAAGCTTTTATTAACATAATTTTAAATCTAAACAAATTATATTAATTATTCTATACCCATTTTTTTTGGAACCTTTCAATATCAATTCTTCATCAATATAATCGAATTTAATTCAATTGTTTTTAATCAGAATTATGATTGTTAATATTGACACATTATAACCGATACGAAAAACGTTTTATAGGTTAAAAACAAGTTACAGATATTTTCATTCCAGATATACGACATTACGACACATTTACAACGGTTAAGGCACGCGTCACGTATAAAATAAAAAATTCGCGAATGTGCCCACCTCTGGTTTAAACATATGTATGTTTCATATTAAATATTTAAATAAATTTATAAAGTATAGTATTCTATTTTATTTCCTCACAAGCTATAAACAACTTTTGTGTCAGGTATCAAGGTTAGGAAAATATAATTCAATACAAGTAGGTATCGATAGTTTTGTTTCGATACCGAGTAGGTATCGATACTTTCATACTAGCAATTAGATATGGCGTGATCTGCTACTTGTGAATCACTCGTGATTCGATCACGTTCGTTCCCAATCACGGTGATTTTTCACAGTGATTCGTAATTTCTCGTGATCGTTTCTGATTGGTGGAGAAACCTAACAGTTCTTTACACGCGACACATAATCTGTATATTTTATATTAACAACATCAAAATAAAAATTCGAGTTATATCGTATACAGTGAAGGAATAATTAGAAACAATGAAGAATAATGAATAAATTAATAATTATAAATTATAATCTATATGTTACCTAGCAAATCATTCTTTTAGAATTTCTTGTTTTTTCTACTGATTTTTACAAACACGAATAGTAATGTAATTCATCATAAAATCATATTGAATACGTTTTTCTGTTTAAAGATCAAGGACTTACGATCGCAGTGAGCAAATTCACTCAAGATAAGAAATTCTATTACGTTCTTGATACGTATTACTCACTTATATGTAATAATATAGAATAAAAATATACTATTAGTCCGATATTTGAAAATATGCATGCGTTCGTTGTCGCTGTTAAACTGTTGTAATAACAATGGAATAATAAAATAATTTACTCAAATGTACATAATAATACATATACATATCCATAAAAACAATATTAAGCGCAATAACTTTTTTGTACGCGAAGAAAAACTAATATAGGTCCGTCGGGATCAGAACCCAAGACTCCTTTCTAATACGTCTACTTTATAGCGAACGGACGGAAGAGAATCCGTTCACGACCATGGTCCCTTCTTAGATTTAACGTAATTTACAAATTCACCATCTCATAACGTAGAGGGCAGCAGAAAATCCCTGACTTTTTACACTAACGGTATTTCAGAACATGAGACACGAAGTCCCATAAGATGATAGGTCTATCCTACACCTATTCGGTGGTAAAAGTATCGATACCTTGGCGGTATCAATTCAACCCTAACCGAAGTGGGTCTCTCATGTAAATGTGGCACAAGTTTAGTGACTTTTGTGGCCAAGTGGTGGGAGGCCCTTCCCTACGCCGCTTTTCCCCCAACGGATATCGAATTTGCTCGTGAGTGTACATACAATGTATGCACATAGTCCTTGTGCCCATTTGTGTTTGCTTGTGTTGTTTTTGCAGTCGAAACATAAATACTTATATAGAATACATGAATGTAAAAATTCTTTTATTGAAAGGAATATCAAATAATAATAGAAATAATACTTGCATTACCAAGTTATGCGCTCAGTTGTTAATATAATAGTTTTATATCTACAATGACGTAATTTATTTATACATAGTCATAATCATTTGTTTACGTTAAGTTAACCTGCTTGTTTTAAAGAACGCAAATTATGGATATTCCAACTCCTTCGAATATAAATCATGGATTTTCACATGCTAATGATGGATTCTTAAATATACCTATTGAGTCAGCAAGTTTGGATCCATTGTCTACCAAGCGTAGAAGGTACCTATTAATTTTTATCAATTCTATAAAATAAGTAAGTGTGTACTTAATTTGCAAATGGTATATGGTGGTATAAATTAACGTATTAGTATTATCATATCTCTAACGTTATAGTCAGCAATATTTGCAGAATTAAATTTTTACAAATATTTAATTTTTAAACATCTGCATGGATTATTAACTTTTGCTAATAGTACAAAGTAACAAGTACAAGTAACAAGTAGACTGCGTACGTTTATGCGAATGCATATTTTAAAGAAATGGATTAATAAAATGGGACTTTGGCAGAAATATGTTTCATTATTAGAGGATTTACAAAATATATTTTTATATTTTACATATTGCACATATTTCTTACATATACAGAATTTGTTTACAAATTACTTTGAGTAATTGTCAAAACATGCTCAATCTCATTAATTTAAACTGTGGGAATTGCTGCAATTACAATATGGAGTAAATATGCAGGATAAATTTGATAAATATACGTTTGTGTAATGACTAGAAAAATTGTACAATAGTGTTTAATTAATGTATTTAGCATTATATCTGAAAACATTAAATTATTAAATTTTGTAACATACAAAACACAATATAACATCAATATTAAGCATTTCAATTATTAAACTATTAAACTGTATTACCAATAAAATATTATACTATATATGTATAATTTAATGGTAATACAGTTTAATAGTTTAATTTTGATGTTACCTTGTGTTGTGTATGTTAAAAAATTTAACAATTTAATGGTATAATATGACAAGTATAACACAATTAGTTTTTTAAAATTTGTGTAATGCAGAGGTGTTAAATACATTGATTAAACACAATTATACGAATTTTTGAGTTTCTACATAAGTGTGTATTTATCAAATTCATCCAGTATATATTTTGCATACATATTGCACATATACTATGCATATTTACTGCATATTGTAACTGCATGAATTTCCACAGTCTGATTCAATACCATTGAAATCAGTGAAAAAGTATTGTGAAAATGAATGTATGTAACATGTTTTATAATATATCATTTTTTTAAACCAAAATATGTATAAAACTTTTAATTGTACATTTAATATATTTTTCAGAAGTACAGAATTGTAGGTATAAAGTGTAGTTATTTATTATGCTTACAATATTTTTATGGTTTTGTAGAATAATTACTATATGATATAAATTTTCATGAAAAATGTAACTTTTGGAAAAGAACATGTAAAATTGAGAGAATATTCGTGTAAAATTAAATTGTAACATATGAAGTATCTGTTTAATGAATTCGAAACATATATTAATTTAGTTTTGATTAAATATCTTCACTAATTGATATACATAGCATTTATTAATTTAGAAATTTTTCTAATGAATTAGTAATGTTATTTACGTGAAGTATGATTGGTGGTACTTATGTCTTATTCCTATTAAAATTGTAGTTCTTCACGTACAATAAAGCGCAGAAAATTTGATGATGAGCTCGTTGAAACAACATTCAATTTACAACCACCTGCTACAAGTGCAAAGTCTGCCTCCAGATCTAGAACTGTTTCAATTTCTACTGCTCCAATGGAATGTGTTCCACAGCAAAATGTACCAAGTCCTATTCCAATTTCTGCAAATGTACATCATGCAGATAGATGTAATCGACGCACAAGTAGACCAGGAGGATCAAATGCTCCTGGTAGAAAAAATAAGAAGAATAAAAATCACTCACATTCGGTAAATGCTACAAAAGATTTGGGAAGATGGAAGCCCACAGATGATTTAGCATTGATCACTGGTGTACAACAAACAAATGATTTAAGAATGGTATTTGTTTCAATTTTGTTGCAAATATTTAAAACAATTATTTAGTTCCTTTTAATTTAAACAGTTTTTTTAACATATTTTATCTAGTTAATATTGTAATGGTATATATATACAGGGTGTCTCAGCTAACTTGATCATCACGAATAATGACTTAACGGTAATTTTTAATACGTACTTAGTATCTGAAAACTATAGCTGCTCGAACTGATGCCCCTTAATTTCCACACAGTGATTATTTTGTAAATACCTCAATAACTATTACGTTTAGGACATATGAAGGTCAACATATTTTTACTGAGAATTTGATACTCTATCGATCTACGGTACAAAAATAGGTAATTTCGTTTAAAAAATCAAGGTGACCTTGTAATCTCTGAAATTCCTCCACCCACAAAAAATGCACGTGCCTTACAAGTAGTGCTCCGTGAAGCCATTTAAGTTCCACGTCTCAAAATTTTCATAAAGTGTACCGTTAAGTCATTATTCGAGGTGATCAAGTTAGCTGAGACACCCTGTGTATGTATATGTGTGTGTATATATATATATATATATTAATATGAGACAGGTTCACAGAGGCACCAAATTCTCTTGTCGCTTTACATTACAAGAAATACAGCAAAGATGGTATGCTCTGCTATATGATAGTGCAGTATCAAGAGTAGCAGTGCAAGCTATGCGTAATCTACATCCAGAATTGATTGCTAGTGTACAAGCCAGAACATTATATAGTAAAGCAGAAGAAGATCTTCTTGGTACTATAAAATCGGTAATAAACTTTTATTTATTTTTCGTTGTTTTATTACATAATTTACAATTTCTTATTTAGGAGAAAGATATAAAAACCGTCGTCTGATGATTATTTTGCATTACCTGTATTTGATGATTATTTTTTTCTTATTTTTGAAATATTAATTAGGTTTATTTACATTACATGTTGTTTATTTTCTTCCAGACCTCACAGCCAACATTAGAAATCTTTCAGGAACTTCTTGAGTCAAATGCGCATACACTTTATTCTGCCAGAACTGCTAAAGCTTTATTAGCTCACTGGCAATTAATGAAACAGTATCATCTTCTTCCTGACCAAACTGCACAAAGTTTACCACGAGGTGAACATGTTCTTAACTTTTCTGATGCAGAAGAAATGATCAACGACACAGAATTACTTGAACAGAAAGATGAGTTAGTAGATGCAGAGCTTGTTGCAGCTGATAGGAGAAACAAAAGGGAGATAAGAGTGTTAGAAAATGAATTAAATAGGTGGCAGGTTCTAGTTGACAGTGTAACAGGAGTAAATCCACCAGATTTTGATAATCAAACTTTAGCGATACTTAGAGGAAGACTTGTTAGATATTTAATGAGGTCACGAGAGGTAATTAATAGATTCGTCGATACGATTATTGATAATTTTCTAATATTGAGACTGAGTTATACACCTAGAAATAATTCTTGCAATGAAGGAATTATTTCAAGTACCACACTTGAGTAACTCACCCTGTATATTAGGTAGAATAAACGTTTAGTTTATTCCGATAAATGAGTGTTGTTTTAACATTTCATGTTTTTATTTTTTCATGTTTAGATTACTGTAGGCCGTTCAACAAAAGACCATAATGTAGATGTAGATCTTACATTGGAAGGGCCAGCTTGGAAAGTCTCACGCAGGCAAGGAACAATCCGTTTAAGAAATAACGGAGATTTCTTTCTTTCTTCAGAAGGAAAGCGACCAATTTTTGTGGACAGTAGACCTATTCTTGCTGGAAATAAAATGAAACTTAACAATAATAGTGTAATTGAGGTATTAATATTTTATTTTTACAGAGATTAATCTTTTGCTACGGATGCTACATATATGACCTTGAAAATAGTTCGTTAAATACAAACATATATACACGAGGGTTCAGAAATTATAATACATGTATACAGGGTGTATCCCAAAATGATGGGACAATCCGCAAAATGCATATTCCCCATGCAAATAGAAATTGAAAAATCCTTTACCGTTTTGTAATCTGCGGCTCCATTTTGGAGATATTAGCAGTTAAACAAACTCACAAGTACGCGCTGCACAATCAAGAAGCATCCGACCGAGGTCATTGACCTCTGCTTCTTGACTGTGTCTGCTGCGCATACGTGGAGCCGACCGCTCAGCTGATTGGAGTATGTTTAACTAGTACTACCTCAGAAATGGAAGTTCAGATTATAAAACGTTAGAGGATTTGTGGATTTGTATTTTCATGAGGAATATACCCGTTGCGGATTGTCCCATCATTTTGGGATACCCTGTATATCTGTAAGGATGCAGTGTTGAAACAAAAGTGGGCTTTGACACAGTACTTGTATGAGTGTGATGACAGATATTTTCTGTAATTAATTCTTCAGAATATTCCAGTGCTAGCAATCCTTATGCAAATATTAGCATACACAATATAGATAATTTTTAAATACGAGCACTGTAGTGAAAGGATTAATCCTTATTAACTGTAATATACCCCTTCAGCAAGAACTATACTTCTAAAATAGCTTTTTTTTAGATTGCAGGTCTCAGGTTTATATTTTTAATAAATCAAGAACTTATTTCTGTTATACGCCAGGAAGCAGTTAAATTGAATTTGAAGCCATGAATATTCTATTTCATTCCTTAATTAGTACTCATCATTATTATAAGTAAAATGATATCTCACACGTATTTATTACATTAAATAAAAGCTTTGTATAAAGTACAATATAGTTATTCATTTACGAAAATAATAAATTTGCTCAATTTCATACATTTTCGACTTTTATTTTACATAAGCCTAATATGTATCCCATATTAGAAGTTTCGATTATTTATCGTCAGTCAGACGTGATATTATTTCAATAAATGAATTAAATTGAATCCATTTAATTCTATTATATTTCTTTATTTAAACGTTTATACGATACAAACACAACACTGTCTAAGAAATTAAAACTTTCCTGATCCGCAATATCCACTGGGAGATCCTTATAGAGTTTCTCGTTCAGATCACAAATCCAGAAACAGAATGTCTCCATCTTCCTTAGTTTTTAAAAAACATGATTTTTTGTAAAAGCAGACAATTTTGGGCAAAAACGACGTATTACGTGAACTAAAAACGTTAGAAAGTTCAACTTGGTTTAAATAACTTAAATTTTGTAATTTTGAATGGTCGTAAGTGGCCGTTAAAGATTAAAAAACAGCCAATTTTTACAAAAAATTCTTTACCTCGCAACCAATTTTCTATACATTAGCGGATTTTGTTGACGTTTCTGAAGAAGAAACCACCCAGAAAAAGTGTCGGAACGGCTTTTAATTTAATCGGGTCGGGAAAATATCCGTCGGCAACATGTGCACGGTGTTTTGCCGCCAGGCGGCCATTGCTCGCTTATCTCGACTCTTCAATGCCGTAGCACAAACGAGGTACGTAATAAGTTGTTATTGAGATATCTGACTATTGATTATTATAAAACAGATTGGTAGCAATTTTTTGGTACCATAATATTTGTGTAAAAAGACTATTTACTATTTATTTTGCAAACAACAAATTTTTGCTCTTTCATTTGCGAATATCTCATTAAATATAAATGGTGCGATGAGAGCAATTTTTTAAGATATAAATTGTTAAGAAACACTAGTATTCGGCGCCCACTATTTTTCGGTGTTTCACTTCTTTAAATATCCAGTGTCGACCCCAGGTCGTTGACGCTCGACGTTCCATAGTTTGAATAAACACGCTGCCGAAAGTTATTCGAAGCCTTCGAATAAAAGATGAAAAATCTCTGCTGCTTCACCAATAGCATATCTGAGTTGTATCTGACTGCGAGATTCAACATGTTACAAATAAAAGCAGTTTGAAAGTGAATGAAACTTCAATATCATTTGTCAAGAGAACGGTTGAGTTTCGACCCATGGTTTCTTTCAGACTTTTTATCCTCGCGACAAGTAGAATATAATACGATAAAAAAATTTGACCTTCAAATGCAAGGTCAAGTTGAATTTTGCGGCAACGTTCTTACCTGTATCACCATCAAATCGAATCCTTGACACCCTGTAAAAGCGGGCACGAAGTGATTCCCCTTTAAAAAATTTAAAAAAAGTATAGATTAAAACTTGTTCATCTCAGGCTTAATTTTCGGGAAAATCAAATTTGAAGATCCACTGCATGCGTATGCAATTACAGCTAAGATATGGTTCACCGAGCGATATACAACGTCTATCATGTTTGGAAATAATGTCTATGTAATATTTACGAGTTACTAGATTCAAGAAAGAATAAAAAGGCATTTTGTTAACTATTTTATTATATCAATTGCAGAATGTCTAAAACTGATTGCCTCGGTGTCATATGCATAGCTGTGCCCGTCTAATTACAGATGTATGAACTCTCGGTAACTTGTTTTGATTTTTTAAGTTCTCAAATACATTAATACTTCGTACCAATTGGTCCCGACTTCCAATATCTGGACTATGAACCTTTACTCCGATATGACCCCACAAATGAAAATCCAGAGATGTAAGATACACGATACATATTATACGTCGTTTGGTGGTGAACCATATCTTAACCGTATACTTTTTAACTATATTTTTTTTATTCTTTCGTGAGGAATCACCTCGTATTCGTTTGTACATATTACTTGGCTAAACCCTCTATATGTCAACAGGTATAAAAATTACAAACTCTTGGACAGTCGCTACAATGTAACAAATTAAAAGTATAGGAATCACAGCACACTGTTAATTACAACATGCATAATAAACTTAACATAGTCCTTCAAACATACCATTATATTAAATATATCAACTATGGTGAAACATTATTAAGTTTGATGAGAGAAAAAAGGTACTATTAAAAGCAGACTCATGTAATAAATCTATTAAAAACACTTGTCCTTCACTTATGCCATGTCACATAAATTTATTGTATTATTGTTATAAAGTTTTGATTGTATCGATGTAAAAGCTAATGTAATCTTCAGATGTATACTAAAAATGAAATTATGTAATGTGTAATGTAGTGTTAAATGTTAATTAATTCTATTATTAAATAACATATAATAGTGAAAAAGACATGTATTCATAATATTTATTACATCAAAGTAGTATTTTGAATAGTTTTCAATTACAAAACGATCAATTTTGTCATTTGTCTATTATATTCTTGCCATGAAACTTCGCTCTTTCATTGACATGCTCATACAGTCCTAAATATATATCGTGCAGTCATTTGAAGTGATTTTCGTCTTTTTTTAACAAATATTTGGACATGTTTTGGTTCATACAGTCAGTTTTAATGAAAACTTTTTTATAAAAAGTAATCAGCCTGAGGCTTTTTACTGGGTATTCCTCGACTTTCCTGTGGTGCTGCTTCAAATATCGTAAAATCTCGTTGAAGGTGTTCATTTAATTCTAGTATCGCAGCTACGTTTCCACATCTATGTAACAAAGTTTCGTAAAATTAGTAAATACTTATACTTACTTCTACTGAATTAAATATAATGAAATATATTGGTTTGAGTCATATACATGACTTTCTCCGTGAACAGAAAAAGTTTAAAATAGCAACTAGCAATAGTAATAAAAATCCTAAAACTTTGCAATAATTATTGAATTCAGTAATGATAAAGAATATATAATACATTGCTATTAATTGCGAAAACTTAAACTGAAAAACACTTAAAAAAGAAAAGTGATGAAAGTTTTTTATGGTTCAATGCAATAATATAAGTGTACATTAATGCTTGTATACCGTTTAAAGTTACAAATTTCAGATACCTGTAGCAATAGTTAGGTGCTGACCAAACTGTCAAAACAGTCTCATTAAAATGCCACTTATATCCTTCCATAACTAATTGATGCGCTCTGCATATCATATCAATATCATTAGCAGAATTAAACTGTGCTACAACATCACTCCCAAAAAGATAACCAGCTCCACGTGGTGAAACTCCCCAACCCTGTGTATCCTCAGGATCTGACCAAAGTAAATCACACATTGGTCCATCATGTGGAACCTGCAAAATTTGTTTATTTTCAATTTTTTATTTACTTTATACTGCACTCAACTGAAACAGATTTATAAAAATTATACATATGTATTACTCACTTCTTGTTTTCTATCTATAGTTCTTATCTGATCGAGTGTTTGAATACTTGGTGATAGTCCTCCATGAACACAGAATATTTTTCCATCAATTATAGCAGAGAGAGATAAATAATCAAATATTTCAGTACACCATCGCCAAACTGAATTAGTTCCATATTTACGTAAACATTCGTCATAAAAACCATAAACCTGTGTAATTTGTCGAGACTCATGATTCCCTCTTATTAATGTAATCCTATCAGGGTAACGAACCTGGAATTCAGATTATATTAGTGGCTATAACCACAGTAATTTACTTTCTATTCATATGTGTTTCCCAAAATCATTCCAAATTAATTACTATATTACTACTTATTACTATAACAGTTTTACTTATTACTTTTAACGCCAAAAGGAGAAGAAATGTTTCAACGCTATAAAAACCTCTATCAACAAAATCACCCATGAACAAATAATTTGTTTCTGGTACATCTCCACCAACTTTAAATAATTCTTTCAAATCATAGAACTGACCATGAATGTCTCCACACACCTGAAAAACATTACATTTCTGTAAAATATGATTATAATAAATTTTGTCTCTTTTTTAATAAAAACATACCGTAACTGGGGAATCAACTCTTTGTACATTACTTTCTTCAATAAGAATTTCTCGTGCCTTTGCACAAAGAGCTTTAACTTCAACTTCTTTAATAATTTCACATTTTTTTAACTGTTCTATTTGGCGATCCAAATCACTGGAATCAGCCATCTTAAAAATTATTCTTTTGCTAAAAATTACATTTATTATTAACACACAAATTATTTCATAATACATTTAAGTAATTAGTCATTATTAGTAAATCACCAATGAAATAGGTATATACGTACAAAATTACTTTACATTAGTAACACATTAATATTATATGTAATACATCATTTTTATGATTTTTAACTGCCTATCATAAAGAACATGAAATTCAGAAAGTAAAAGACTGAAGAAAGAAATTTTAGACTGATAATTACATTTAAAAACTCAATTAAAGTAGTAGTTAATAACATAATATTATCAGATAAGGGCCAGAAAAGCTTAAATTAATAAATACTACTATCATACTGACAAATAAAAAATGTTCATTCATTTTATTTATTACTACTCAATGAAATATAACTATATCCACTATCATTGATATCTCTTAATGCATATTCTTAAGATTGCTTCGATATTAAAGTTCTGGTTAATTATAATCCACTGTATGCATATTTGTTCAGAAACATTAAGAAAATTTATTAAACAATATCACATTATTTTTCACACTTCAGCAATTTTATATGATATAAATGAAAATATTTTATTAACAAATTTTAAATTACTTGAAGTATACTAATAATTAAATATAGATAATTACTATTATTAGTATTAGATTATTAGGTGCTCATTCTGGTGAACCATTGTAACCAAAAATATAGATAATAATAATTCAGATATTTTTAAGTTAGTATAAGTAGTCTGATTTTAAAGCAAATCATAAATAATTAGATTTCAAGCATAGGTAATCATACTTTCTGATTATCTGTTAACTATCAACTAACTCTACTAAATTTATAGAAAAAATGAATCGTATAATGTTCGAAAATAGTTAAATATAAGTATACCGAATAGCTAAATTACTTTTGAGACCTTTTTAAAATTTGCTTCACAAATACACTTTACAAACTTTCTGTTTTTAAACCATTACCTTTAAAAAACTATTTTGTAAATCAATTGAAAATTTGAATATAGATAAATAAATACATTTATAGAAATACACATAAGATATTATCACCAACATAAAATAATAAGTAACTATATATTTAATGGACGGCTAACCTAAATGACTGTATAATACACAAATAAATACGGCCTATAAGGAAAAAGATGAACGTACCCGATCGTATAGAAAAATCAAGATCTATTCCACTCAATAAATAAAACGCATTTAAATAATACACGTATAACTAAAATTCTTCTCGATTATTTCATATATTGTATATATATATATATATTAAAACACTGATAATTAGTTACATTAATCAAAAAATTCGTTTCAAGAAACGTTAAACATCACTGCACAACTGACATTAGACCAAAGAAGCCGAGAATAAAATTTGAGAAAGTTGGCATAGATTAAAGCAAATTGAGAAATGAAATTTAACTGAATTTGTTGTTACTATTGTAGTTGCATGGTATTTGGGAACTCGAGCGACTATAGGCGGCAGGGTGATCGCACTGTCATGGTGACTGTGTAGGGCAGTGGAGGGTATGACGTCCCCGACGTGGAGATTCGCCAGTAAGTGCGGATGGCACTCGGCAGGGGTTTTCTTCACCGTCGCGTTTCTCACAAGTACTCGTTTCTGACTCCCACAGTATATATAATAGACTATGGTAAGGATGAGGTTGGCAGTAGAGTGAGAGCAGCAGCCAATAGAAATTAGGTACTCTTGTATCTAGTCGCCCCTCCCACAACGTATGCTTCGTCCCAATCATAGACCAGAATGACAATGTATAGTTCTACGGGGGCAGGCCGAAAGACGGAAAGGAGATCGGCTTTCGGCCGCCATGAGAGGGACTACTGGTGGTGTCCTCTACAGCCGAGTATAATTATTCAAAGTGGCATCCTTCATGATGTCCTTTGTAATGATCCTGGTGACGCTATGTGTGAAAGCATTGGAGAACAACTCACGTGTATAGCAGTGTATATTATTGTAGTTCTAAGTAAAATAGTAAAAATATTATATTTGAAGGTGAAAAATTGTTATAAAAATGTAAATTATTAGTAGCAGGTAATCGATCTCGAAAATGCCAAAGTGCATTGTGCAACGTATTAAAGCACGAATGATCAAATTTAACCGTTTGAGTGCCACGGAGCGATTTTGCGCTTCTCCTCTGTCCCTCGAACAGAGGAAAATCCGATAACCGCGACACGCTCGGTTTCTGTCGATGCGCGACTTTACGGTTACCACTCCATTTTAGGTAAAAGTAAAAGAATGATACAACTAGTAAAAGAACGAATGAACAACACTGAATTGAAACAATTACAGCTACCGTATAAAGCTGAAAACAGCGCAATAGCGCTCCTTGGCATTCTTGGAGAGGGAATAAGACAAGCGCTATCGCGCCGCTTGGCACTTTTGGAGAGAGAATAAGACAAGCGCTATTGCGCCGCTTGGCATTTTTGGACGGGAAAATAGCAAAGACACGTGGCACTCAAACGGTTAAACTACGTATGTCCCGCGAGAAATTGGTACCGCATATTTGGCACTAGTCGTCTCTCTCATGGCGACTGAACGGTCTCCCGCGGCGCCCCTCGGTTTTTCTTCCGCCCCCGTTGATAAGTGTACTTTACGCACCGTCCTTTAGGTCCATGGTCCCTATAATCCTATGTCTTTAAAGGTTCAATTGGTCCCATGGATTTTGCTAACTTGCACTAGCACTGTGAACTGCGAAGCAGTCAGAGAATCATCAGAGAATACTCTCATAATAACCTTATCCATGTTAGAATTTTCGTTTCATTCTGTTGTACACAGCTGTGTGTGCCATAAATGTATAATTGAATAGTTTAGTAATGAGTAGTAATATAAATAATACATGGATTTGATTAATAATAAATACACTAAGCAGAGAGCATAATTTAAGGGAAAATAAAAATATTTTATGATTTTTCGGTTTAATTTATTAATTGATACTTGTCTATGTACAAGACTGCACCTGCTAAACAATCCTCTTACCTATAATACAAGACAGAGGACCATCCATGAATACAACAGCGTTTCACCTTTTTTATCTCACTACGTCGATTGCAATCAATTTTTTTAATCAAAATCGATTAAAAAAACGAGGAAAATAAAAGGAAAATGCCAGATATACTATTTACAAAAGCAATTGTTCAATTATTGATCGATCAATTAATGATTAATTCATTTTATATCACATAAATATGAAATTTACATGATTTAGTTTTATAAAAAAAGTTAATTTTTTTTTTAAATTAATTTCGATTGACGTGTTAGAAATAAACAACATTTCAATTCATTATCAGATTATTTACAAGAGATCAACTGCTAAAAATAGTATATTAATTATGTAATTAAAAATAATTACTTTCAGTCATACGATCAATAACTGATCAATAATTAATTGATAATTATCAGTACTAACTGTAAGGTCTCTGATAAAAAGACCGACAATAGTGACTCAATCAATTAATTAACTTAAAGCATAATTGACCAATTTGCAGCGAATTTCTACAGGCAAAGAAACACAAATGATTTAATTTAAAGCACCCCAAAAATTTCTGTTCCTAAAAATTGTGCTCCGACTTTTATTCAATATTTTTGGTATTTATCCTTGATAGTGTTCTTCGTCGTAATTTATATCACGTTGTTTACAAACTAATTTGTATTTACCGCGGTTGACTTTAATGCATAAAGTAATTTATCTGCTTTAACATGAAAGTACATTATTAATTGTTGCATTTTTTTGGTAGCTTTCATTAGATGTCGCCTCTGACACTTGGGCGTGTATGAAGTGAAAAAATAACTAAATGTATAAAATAGATTGCACCAAATGTATGCTAATTAATACAGTTTTACTTTTATACGTTTCATTTTTTACTTTTCTTGATTTTTTCATTAAAATTGACTGAAGTGACTTTTTTCATAAACGAAATTAGGTAACATGGTAACATGTACTAAAACTAAATTGAACACTTTCATATAAAAGAATTTCATTTGTATTTTGCGGTAACACAAACATGTCACTATCATTCGTGAAGTTTGCATTGAATAAACTGTAGCATTTCATAATAACAGGACTGCAACATTCTAAGTCATTTTTAAGTATTAATCGCTATATCGTGTAATTCTCTATACAATGCAAATTAATTTACACAATACGTTTCTCTAACTCTCGTTTTTTGAATATGTATAACAATTTCAAATTATTTGTTTGAATGTGCCAGGATTAATCCTTTCTAATTAATGCGCACTAAAAAATAATCATTCACAGTTTTTTTTGTTTTCCACATGCGCAATGCTATGGGATATTTTTCTTTCCTTTTTAAAATATGAATCAGTTATTTACAATAAATCACTCGAAAAGGAAATAATTGATGCGAAATAACTATCGTTTTAAATTAAATCGAATGAAAAGTTTGCTAATTGTATTCCAAATTGTAGATTGTCGGAGCGTTGACAAATTAGTTACTTAAAGCCTTATACAGATTATGCGAATTAAACATAATACTGTAAACTTCGGAATAGGTTATAAGTTTATTTGGTACCGAACTATTTCGTTGCGTAATGAACAATCAAACTTGCGTTTCATGTTCGACGTAGCAAACATATATGTAATAAAATTTCATTTTCGTTTTAAATGTGACATTTGAAATTTGTGTGCAACTGTATCATTACAAGGAATGTTTATGTACCACTAGGTGGTACCAATGTGATCTGTATAGTGTTATTTTGGGGTTTGATTCAGAATATTTTTAAAGAATGCATTAAAAATCATAATATAGTTTCCGGCGAAAATAAATTATTTCGTCATACAACAAAAATATCAAACATTCAAGTTCAATGCAAAAATACTGTGTCAGATAACATGATAATAAAAACATACGCAATGTCTTGCATGCAAAGTAATCTTAAAAAGATATCATAGGATAAAATTACATGCAATTTATTGTGAATATTTAAAATTGTTAAAAAAAATACTGTAGCGCAATTAAGTAAAATCGTTTCTAGGTTGCTGAACACGTTCAATACTTATTATATAAAAAGCAATAAAAGATCTATGATTTATGTCACAGATGTTCTATAATACACCATGTTATCTTATTATTGTGTGTATTTAAAATGTGAAAATTCCTGTTCGTTTTACGTTGAAGAACAACGTAAAACATAATGGAAAAATCAAATAATTCATCTTCTCATCGCTCCGACAGTCTTACATTTGAATCTCTTAAAATTTAAGCTAGAATCCCGCATTAATTTACATAGCACACAAGGAACAGTGGTTTCAAAGTAATCCACCTTTTCGTCCAAACAAAAGCGAACTGATAGTTCCCAAAGCAGATTGCGCGGGTGATTCTTTTGTAACAGTGACAGGGACAGCAGGTGTAACTTGTCCGAGGTCGGGCCTCGTGGCCCTAGCACCAGTTCTCCTTTGTCTATTTGTCTCCCTGCTCAATGTGGGCTCGTTCTGCTTCTTCTCAGCAAGTTTTCGTTTTGTCGATGAGGAATCACTTACAGTGGAAGAAGGTGAAAGTTTTTCCTGACTTCCACTCGAGGATATAGAGCTTTTTAAGAAAGTTAACTGAGCCATGGGACTATCAGTAGTACGTCTGGTGTACAAAGATCCCTGAAGAGCTAGCGGAGAGATAGAGGAACCGATTGTTGTAGCCATTATAGTATCGATACCAATTCTTTCGAGTTTCTCTACTAAACGAATCCCAGTAAGAGCTTTTTTCTCGGATCTTGAAAGCACTGTCCGCTTTCTTTTTACCTGCTTCAAAATATAATTACACGCATAAATTATAGTGAAACTAATTCTGGAAAAAGAATATGGTACAATCGAATTTATAAATTTTTAATTTGAGTTCAAAACTTCAGAAAATAATTTAACAGTGTATATCTTTATTTACATTTAACAAACTACTTTTTATTTTACTTATTACAAGTTAACTAAGTTATTAGTTTATATTTTAAATTATCATGTATTGATAAACAGAAGTAACATTAATTCTGTGAAAGTAGAATCATGTATGTATTGTTCAATTTGTTACTATTCGTAATAATGTTTTACTTCCATGTCATCTCTTAATGCAGAATTCTTTTCTACATATCTTTATTTTTAAACTGTATATTTTTGCGCATACCTCTGTTTCTCCACCAAACGTCCTCTTTAATAATTCTGCCCCACTAGATAATAAGCCCAAAGAAATTCCACTTTCCGGAGTTGGTGAACTAGATCGACTTTCTGGAGGACTAGCATCAGGGCTATTGCAAGGTGTTGCAGTAGGTGTATAATTCCTTTCACCACTTGGAGTACCAACACAAGAAGGTGTTACAGCTTTTATACCTATTTCGACAACATAAATAAGAAATATTTATCTTAGAAAAACATAAAATACTTTCTTGTTTTCTCTTCTTCTAAAACCACAAACATATACCAGCCCTGTATTGAAACAAAAAATTGAATTGTAATTTTTAGCTGTAGCAGCATGGTACACGACTGGAAAGGTTTTTACTTTCTGTATAAAGATTATTACATAAATAATAAATTGTTGAAACAAACGTTTGCAGACTATAGAATGTTTTTTCTTCGGTAATTTTCTCAAACTCTGTAAAGATTATGTATAAAAAAACGTAATAAATACCTCTTTCATTCAGTATTTTGGCGAGCCCAAGGGTTGTCGAGAATGTCGAAGTAGAATTCCTTCTACTTAAAGTTCTCGGAGTACTCATTCCGGAATTTAAAGCACTATTAGGTGCAGTTGCAACTCTGCTACCCACGATACTTGATGTTACGTTTGTGTGATCATCAGGATGAAGAACAGTACTATTGGTATATGTATAAACGGAGCCTGTGTCTTGGAAGAGTTTACCAGGATTGGTATATTCTTCATCTTCCTCAAGATCGCTTAATGTAAAAGTGACTAGGCCTAAGTCTTCCAGGCCACGACCACCTCGAGTCATCACTCCCGGTCGTTCTTCTAACAAACCACCTGAAAGATAATATAAGAATTTCATTTAAAAAAGTTTACAGATTAATATGGAAGTCTCGTATGAAAGTTTTTTATGCTACTGTGGTAAAATTAGACAGTGTTAAGATGATTCATAGATGATTCTCTTTATACATATGTGTGAGTTACTACGTGTATGCTTTTAAAAAGACCTAAATATTCTAACAAATAGGACCTCTATTATCTCTATTTCTCAAGGTCCAATCATGTTACGTCCAATATTATTCTTAAAAAACTTCTTCTTATTACTACCATTTCATTGTGCATTAAAACTGACTAACAGTTTAAAATTCTAAAAATTTTGTCTTTACTCGTATACTTTCTTCCAAAAGATTGGCCATTTAACATTTACCTAAAGTTGGCGTGGCTAATTGCGTCCACTGATGCAACGTTTGTGAACCTTCAATAGGTTTGACTATTTGCAGTTTCTCAGGAAGTCTCCAAGCATTTCCACTGTAACCACTTAGATTTCCGCTACTTCCCGTGGACATGATGCTGTCTGGAGTTCTACATCCAAGAGGCACGAAGGTCGAAGGTGAATTCACTCCAGCAGCATCGTAATCGTAACTATATCCTGTACCGGTGCTCAGGCAAGCACGCCTCGCGATGACTTCGGCAGGCGTTAACCTACGAAGTGCTGCCACAAGGTCTGCTGCCCCAGGAGCGCCTGGTACTCCCATTCCCTGTGGAGCTCTGAAAGTTCGTACATATCCTTCACACTATTTTGTTTTCAAGTTCGAGCGCGTTTAAAGACGTATTAAAACACTCTTAATAAAAATACTTGACTGATCATAAAATTTCGGGGCTACCAAAAAATTCGTTTCCTTTAAATAGAGCTATTATTTGCCACGTGAATACTTATGCAGTACAAAACGTGAGCGTGGCATTTGAATGTCACTTATGAACATTATAAAATATTCCACAAAAGATTTCATTGGCTGTAAATGCTTAAGCAGTAAGAAAAATTCTCAAACTTACGGATAATCTTCAGAATCTGTAATAAGAGATCCTTCCGAATCGCTATGGCCAGCAGAGTCCAAACTAGGGAACGTTGATGCTATGGGTCGAATTTGTCCACAACTCATTCTGGGCCCAGCAGAACCACTCGATAGGGTTGATGTAGTCATCGACCCTATTCTTGGGAACTGATTACCATCAACTCCGTACGAATTTCTTGAAGCACTTCTGACCGTTTCAAAAACTTTTTTGTACGTAGGTCTGTATAATATCAAACAAGCAAACTAATATTTTGTCACCTTTACTCAATAAACAATAAATATTTATACTTCCACTACTCGTTTCAAATGCTCTTCCATTAAATAAGAAAAGATAAATATAAAATATGAATCTTTAAACCTTTTGCGCTATATAAAAAGTAATAAGTTATAACAAAGTATCTCAACAGAGTCCTCGGTTATAAAAATGTATGCAAGATACTGTCATGGTTATTGACAAGGCATACTAATATGACCGTTATGCAGTAAATCGTTTTTCTGTTACACAAACAGTATATATGGAAGGACTTAAATAAAAAAATGATAAGAGTAACGTACACTCTGTCAGCGCTGATGCCAGAATCTAAGCTGAGTTCAGAATAAAGAGAGGATTCCAATTCTGAAGCAATAGAATCAGGCTGCGGAGCAACACCCATTGAGGGAAATAGAGATCCTCCTCTGACTGTTGGCATTCCTTTCTTTCTCTGTTTTCGCAATTGTTCTTGAGTTTCCGCTAATAAATTCACCACCTTTAACAGACAAATCAAATTGATTTGGCGTTGTTTAAAACGTAACAGAATAGTCATCGTATTAAAACACTGTCAGGCGGTCAACTAAAATTACTTGTTGCGAAAACTTCCCATACAAGCCAGTCCGTCTACAGTGACATTTTCGTAAACACAGACGCAACATAAACTTTCTAAACTTCATTAGAAGTATTTAACATTATATTCAATTACAAATACATAATAATACTTTGGTAACATTTTTCCCTAAACTGGAAAGTGATGACACCGGCCGTAGACAGCAGTCTGTGCAGAAACTCGTCGCCTGATAGTGTCTTACATAGAAATTTAATTATTATAAGCCTGTTAAATTTCTTCGACATTTTAGCAGTACCTTTTACAGTCGTTATATCTTTTACGCCTGTACAATAATACTACATTTCAATATTAAAAAGTAGAAGCAATTAAACATTTTTCACGATTTTGAACATTACATTCCTAGCTTTTTTTACGAATTTTTCAAGCATACCTAGAAACAAAATTTTACACCGTATGTGACATGTAAAAAGTAATCATAACACACGTCAATTACAAGAAGAAATAAAAGGAATGAAAGGACATGAGAATTCATTTGTGAGAATATACCTCCGCATATCGGTCCTTAAACTCGGCCAGCTCACTCGCAAGGGTATTTTGGTTATCCCTCGTGATGAGCAAGGTAGCTCCCACCTCGTCGTGTTCGGCCATCAGCTGTGCCAATCTTAATTCCGTTTCCGCTAGTTTCGCCGTCAAGCTGACAATTTGCTCGTGTTGGAGGCGGTTTTCTTCTTTCTGCCTGTCGAGCTCCTCGGCAATCCCGTCCACTTCCATGTTTGCATTTGCTGTATTGAGAATTTATTTTTGTAATGTCTCTTAATTTAAGAATGAAAATTGGTACTTAAACTACCAAAGACCGCCTTCGCTACGCGTTGAATGGCTCCGGAAGCCGCGGGTTTTAATCTTCACGCGTAGGTATCGCAGCCTTTCAATAAAACAGTTATAACTAGATTATTTGTAAATTTAATAACGCGAACCTTTAACATAACTGGGTCAAATGATTACTTTCCTATTCTGCCATTTTAGTACTACCGTTTAAAATATTCCTTTTTCCTGAGAAAAAATTGAATATTTCAAACGGTAGTGCTAAAATGACAGAAAAATCGTGTGGCGTACTGATATGATTACGGTCGCCAGTGGGTTAACATTAAACCAGTAAGAACGGTAACCGAAGTAACAAATTAGTTAATGTTTATTGTCCAGACTTGAACAATATGCTGGGTATGGGTACTGATCTATATAAAAGGTAAAGAGGTTTTAGACATTTTCGATCCCCAATGATTTGATTTTCATACCCTGAGGATTCCGCAGATAAATTTTACTCTGAAGTTTTGGAAAGGTAATCGACTAACCAAGCTGAGCAGCGATATCCCTGACAAGTTTTGCCTCTTGCTCCTCTGTACTATCGGTATCATATATCAATTTCGAAAACTCCGTCCTCAGTTGCTTATTCTCATCTTCGAGGGTACTGATCTTTTTCTGCATCATATCCAAACTGATACCACGAAGTCCGGTGGGCGTACCGGCTTCAGAGTTTGTTTCCTCAGCGTCATTAGTCAGAATCTGAATTAATTCTGTCTTTTTCGTAAGCTCATGCGTGAGTTGAGTAATTCTCTCGTTAGCTTCCTTTAAGTCGGATTCTAAACTACTGACCGTGGCTTCGAGCTTCTGGTTGTGCGATAATAATTCTTTGCCAATGCGCGCGGTCAGTTCCAAGTCCTTCTCTTTCTGGAAGACAAACAAATTTTTTGGATGTTATATTTATCGTATCATAAGTTATTTTATACATAATGTTAAAGAAGACGGTTCAAAATTTGCGTTGTACGAAGGACCACTGACGAACAAATAATGAAAGTTGGTAGAATTTTAAGTACTTTTTTGTAGTCAGGTAAATCTCACCTTTAGTCCTTGTCCTTAAAACTCTACTTGCATAGTAAATGATGAAGGGGAACATCAGAAGTTTACTTACAAGCTTCACTCGATTGAATAATCTTTACGTACATTTTTATTCATTCTATGCGAAGTACTAATAAAATAAAATTTTTACCCCCATTGAACGAATAATAATAGAAAAGTATTTCATTTTTTTAATTTGCTACTTGTTCTTCATAAAAAATATTTTCTCGATAAACGGAGTTATGTAATATAATTTTATTATTTATTTGTTACTGTTTTTGAACCATTATCTGTTCTCTAGCGTGATTTATATTTTTTAAAAAGCGCGATTTATATATAACTTTTCGTGAGTAGACGATGAATCAAATGAGCCAATACTGATTGCCCTTTTTGTATTTGCTTCAGCAAGTATTATATATTTCTAAATTCTACACCTTCTTTTAAGATTATCCTGTATAAATGTCTACCAAGTATTATCGTCGCCATTTACCTCTTCCAGAAGCCTTGTCACTGCTTCTATGTCATTATAAGTCTTGGTCATTTGGCTCACCCGGCTGCTACATAGAACTGCAAAAAAGAAACAAAAACAGCTTTATAATAAATTGTCGTAAGATTATCATTTTATGGTTGTTAAAGTGTTTCAATTTCGCGCTTTTTCTATTATATACAATTGATCACATGTCCTCACGCGATGCCCTCGGCGAGATTCGTTTTTTTTTCTTCACTAGCGTGGTGATGCGACGTGTGTGCATTGACGCGTTAAGTCTGTATCGAAGTAAGAATAAAGTAATTTTTCGTTTATTGTGTATCAATTTTTTGATAAAATCAATAGGTTTTGGGCTCAAGTTCTTTTTGGTGCGTATAAACCTCTCGTATACATACGTGAAGTAGCGAAGAAACAAATTAACTAATTTGGTGAACAGAGCCACATGTCTGACATAACATTTTTCTTTTGTGCAAGCGCATCAAACCTTTGTGTTGTACGTACTTACGCTGTGTGCATTAAAGTTGAAAAATATTGGACGGAAAAATTGACGCAATATCAATTAATAAGTTTGATGATAAAAACTATCATCAGTGGAAATTTCAACTATGTTGTGCTCTACATGCAAAAGGCCCTTTTGTAATTACAAAGGGCATAGAAATAAAGCCAGGGACGACGCAAACGTCGACGGCAGCAGAAATCGCGGTAAATAAAAAATGAATGAAGGACGGTGCGTGTGTCATGTTTTTATTGGCTTCTACAATGGATTATTCCCAGATAACGGTCATCGAAAATTGTCAATCGTCAAATCTCGTGCAGCAGTTAAAAAATACGGACGAAACGATAAGCGACATCCCAATTACAATGGACTCTAACTATATTGCCACTAAACATATTGCCACGCGAGGCACTTCCTCTTCACACGTACTTTCGAGCACACAAATTCGCTCTCCCACCACGTTGCGTACGCCGGCGCACCAGCACGATGTAGGTATTGCGCAGGCGCTGAGTCCGAGGCTATGACGATAAAACTTAGCATGGTGGGGGCTCTGAACTCAATGCCATTTTCCTCCCCTACAGCCCCGACCATGGCAATATAGTTAGAGTCCACTGTATAACCAAAATTCTTGGTAGTTTGCTGCCGAAATTTAAAAGTTTTCAAGCATGGTGTCGCTAGACGTAACCAAACAAACGATCAGAAATCTTGCGTCGCGTTTAATAGACAAAGACACTAATTTAACCGCGTCTGATGATAATGCGAAAGCTCTTACTGTGTCATCACATGTAAAAAAAATGTCTAACCGCGTCCGAAATTTAATAAGTGAATAATAACCTGTTACAAATGTCAAAAGAAAGGTGATTTCGCTAACGACTGTCGCGGAGAAAGAAAGTTTAAACCTAAAAACCAGCAAAACTCGCATTCAAGGAAATTATTCTGCTTTTAATGTACTTGAAAGTAATTCACTGTTGAATTTAGACAATGAAGTATGGATTTTCGATAGTTGCGCAACGTCGCATATGACACACTGTCGCGATTTCTTTGCTGTTTTTCAGGAATCAAGCAACGATGCCATTGTATTTGTAGGAAATGGACAGGAATTATTGGTAAAAGGAAAAGGCGATGTAAAAATTAAGGAATTGGTAAAGGACGCATGGTATGATTCAATAATTACTGATGTTTTGTATGCTCCTAATTTAAACAAAAATCTATTTTCAGAAGGTATAATTGCGCAGAAAGGAATGAAAATTGTAAAAGAAGGTATGAATGCTAATGTTTACGGAAATAAGGTGCTTGTTGTTGCTGCTGCACGCAAGAAAAGTAATTTATATCACATGCAGTTCAAAATAGTCTTAGGACAAGAAGTAAATCGGGTAACTTCGTTCCTTTTCGGTGCTATTCGGGTATAAAATTACGTCATACATATATATGTATGCTATGAGAGATGAAAAGAATATACTTACTGTACGTTAAAAATTCCGTATGTCATGTAGTTTGTATAGATATATGTATTTAACAAAATTAATAAATAGTATAAAACATTAAATAATAGTACGGCACACAGCCCACCAGCCATTAATAACGAGCCAAATCGAGCCGAATGCATCCAAAGCTAACCGATGTATATCTAACGACCGCTGTCTTTTCCTCTCCAATCCTACGGTCCCCTCGCCCAAAGTAGTAGCTTATGCTCCGTCTCTATATGTCTATGCTTTTTTCCAATTTTCAGCAGTATCGTGACAAGCAGACGCCGGAATCTAGCTCCTCCTACGATTTCTTAATTATTGTGTCTCGCGTGGCGAAACGGCATCATTGTACCACCCGTTTAAGGCAAGGGAAGAAGATGAAAATTTCTTAAGCATGGATAATCATAACTGAGGACAAACGACAAACACGCATGTATCCCTCAAATGTGAAAACCACTGGCTCGATTACTGTTATGATTAATCGTGAAAAATTTCCATCTTCTTCCTTTGCTTTATCCGATATGTGTTAAAAGAACGACGTTTTGCTACGCGAGCGGCAATTAACAAATCGGAGGAGGTGCTGCACTTGATTCCACCGTTCGCTTGTCACGCCGTTGCCAAAAACTATGAAAAACGATTTCAAGGGTACATAAAGGCAGAAGGAGATTCTTTCAAGATGATCCTATGTACACTCGCGAGCAAACTCGGCTTCCGTTAGGAGCAAAAGCAGTGTAGGAGAAGGGCCTTCTATCACTTGGTCTCGGGAATTATTGAAATTTATGTCAAATTAACATTCAATTTAACATTTATTTCCGTACTTTAAATAAATTTACCAAGTGGTAGGAGACCTTTCTCTTCCGCCATTTTTTCCCCTAGTGGAAGCCGAGTTTGCTCGTGAGGGTACTTATTGTTAAAATTAGTAATAAATAATTTATACATAAAGTCCCTGAACTTTTTGATTAGATATTGTACTCCCATCTTATAGATAGAAGGTTGTAAATTTTTGAGGTCTTAAGAAGTGAGATCAACGCGACTCTCGGCTCTCCGGATAGCTGAACCCTCCGACCCTCTTTCATCATACAATTCGGTCAGACAGATTGGAAACGCGTTGATTTGACGTACGTATAGTTGCACCCCGTTGAACTCGTCTTAGAAGAAGTTATCATATGTATTATAATGTAAATAGAAACGTATAATATTTCATTTTAAAAAATTGTATCACCTTTGAAAGTTCTCCCACAAGTGCACCCACAGAACTATATACATTGTGTAACGTGCCCTTCTGAACCGAGAAGCTTTTGTAGGAACACTTTTTTCATATCTTTAATCGCCTTCGAAATATTTGAACCGTTCTTGGATAAACCATTTTCGAGAAAACGGTTTGGAACAAGTTAGGTGAGCCACTTTGTATAGTGTTACTTTTAATAAAGTACGCTCAGTGTATTACTTTGAAGTAGAAATAAGTATCAAAGTTTATTCCTTTCTCACAAATTTAATATACTGTGTTTATCTGTAAAGCGCAGAACACATTTACATATAATGCGCAATCTTTAAAATGTTTACCATGTATCGTGCACAAACTCGATAAAATATTTACACACAATTGTAATCTATCATTTGATCACTTTGAATCCATTATTATGCCGAGTGGTAGTCAAGTTACAGCTTGTAATACTAGTCGCTGAGCACTTCAACCGTTGGAGGACTTGTTTTACAAATGAATTATCTACTGCATTTCATGTGGCAAGTTCACAGTTATAATTTACCATCCTGTTAATACAACTATATGTAAGTAGACAGTAAGTTACAGGTAATTCGATAATCACAATTATAAAACACAGCTAACTCGTTTCTTAGACAATTTTGAGATAACACGGTCGACGAAAAAACCGCCTTCCTTCTTTTTACATAGTTTATTTCCTTTAGCACGGGTGCAAAGGAAATAAAACCGTCTTTGTTTATGGCACGCTTTAAAAATGATCGTGAATGGGAGCAAATGAAATAAACTGAAGAAAGACAGTTCACGAATTATGTGAAACGCTGTATTAACCGGACGAAAATCTTGATTGAATTCAAACTTGGCGGATGTGGTAGATCTCTCTCTAGCGAGGGTAGCGATTTTGGCCCACCTGGCTGTAAACATATGCGATTATTATCAAGTAGCGACGAATAATAACTTATATTTTTTATTGAAAATGTTTAATTTTTCCTTTTTGCAATATTTATATAATACTAATTTCATTTTAGTTAGAATATAATTAAAATGTGTATGAATTTTATTTAGCTGTCAAATATTTAAATGTATTTACAGATAAATTTTCGTCCCTTTTTTACACGGTTTTTTGAATGAAATATAGTTCTTTATTTCATCTTACACGGTTTTTTAATAATTTGTAAGTATAAATAATTTAATAACGTGTAAAAAAAAGAGTTGAGTGTACGAACACAAGCGTTAATGAAACTGTACGGGTCATTCCACGCCAATAATAAGATAAGTATTATATAGGTATGTTAAAGAGACCGTTTAAGGTATCATTCTTCAATGCCAATGAAAAGACATTCACTTCTATTACCGAGATTTTTATTAAGACTGAACATTTTTCTTACAGTTTTTACACTTTGATGAAATAAACTTCTCAGTCTAGTAACGAGAAAATCAGTATATCAAATTCTGTAAAGGGTATAAATAACAAATGATATATAATATGAATGGAATTTTACTATCTGCGTAGGCACGGTATAAAAATAATCGACAGACACGTATCAGTGATGAAAGAAATTTCTACCAAAATGGCGCTTTGGTCTTTCATCCATTCACACGCATGTATAAATGGGCTGGTGGAAGGTCAAGAGGGAGCGAACATTAGGGAAAGGAATAGGAAAACTAAAGGGGAATACGGAACGCAAATGAGTCATCTGCGACTCCGAGAAAAGACCGAGATGACTCGCGATGCTTTCAGCGAACACGTTGCATCCGCTTTTACGTACGAGTTGTTTCAAATAATATTGCACAACACAATTGGACGATCCAGCGTTAAAACGATTTTAACCAGAATAATTTTGGTATCTGACACCTAAAGGATTTGTCCACTTTAATCATGGAAAAAATCCATAGTCC